CAAGGAATTTGGATTTTATTTTGGAGGCCATTGACTGAGGGGCCACTGAATGCTCTTGAAGAGGAAGATAATATATGCTTACTGGATGAAGGAATGACGTGTGTTTTGGGTAGACACCATTCTCTGGCCAGGGTCACTTTAGGAAACTCTTAGGTTGGATGCGGAACAGCACCCATTCTCCGCTGAACAGCCAGCCTGTCCCCTGATCAAATCACCTCTTTGTGAGATTTCCCCGCCCCCCCAAAAAAAACCACTTCGTCAGGATGAAAAATCTGTTCTGCCTTCTGAAACAGTTTCCTGCCCCACCCTCAGCTTTGACTCTATAGTACAGAAGTTCTTGTGTTTGGATTGCATTAGTCAGGATTCTGTATTAGTCAGGGTTCTCCAGAGAACGAATATTTATATATAAAATGAGATGTATTATAAAGAATTGGCTCATGCAATTATGGAGGCTGAGAAGTTCCACGATCTGCTGTCTGCAAGCTGGAGATCCAGGAAAGCAGGTGGTATGCATTCCAGTCCCAGCCAAAGGCCTGAGAAGCAGGAGTGTCAGCAGTGTAAGTCCCATGAGGATCAGAGACCCATGTCTCAGCTCAAGCAGATGGGCAGAGATACCCACTGACACCCACTGCCTCTCACTGGAAACTGAACTTTCTGAACCTGGGACTGGCTTGGGCGCCCTATTTCTTGGCCTTTGTGGAATTGGCGGGGGGTGAGGGGTAGGGGGTGGACAACATCCTATAGAGGAAAAACTCACAGTTTGGAGTCCTCAGCCTGGATTAAAGTACCAGCTGAAATCAATTATTAGCTGTAGAACTTTGGCAAAACCAGTTATCTCTTTGTGCCTCAGTTTTCTCATTTAAAAAATGGGGATAATTATGCCTACTCCAAAGAATTAAAGTGAAGATGAGGATGGGGACTGTCTAGCTTGCTATCTGACACACAGGAGGTGCTGGGTAAACAGTACTTCTTTCATATTTGTAGAGTTAAATAGAAGCTCCAGTTCTACATAAACAGAGGGGAGCTGTGCTTGGAATGAGCTGTTGTTAGGTGCCTTAATTTAGAGGACTGCAAACTCTCTGCCTAGATTATCTTCAGAGATGGTCACAAAGCCCGGCTGTTGAAGGTTCCTACCTGTCTCCCCAGCCTAACCTCTGCTCTCGGGGCTCTGCCCTGCTCTTACTGACGGCTGTGGTTGCGCTCACAGAAAGGCAGGGGCCTAGCCCTGGCTCAGTGAGGCCATTGTTGCAAAGTCTGAGGAACCACAGACACTGTTGCAATACGCGCCCTGCCCTGATGAACCCTGGAGAAACTGTGGCTGGCCCTCAGTCCCTCCAGCGGTGTGTTTGGGGAAACAGCCTAGATTTCTGAGCGTCCTGGAGTGATGGGAAAACTGTTTTTTGTTGTTTAGTTGTTAAGTCACCTCTGATTCTTGCAACCCCATGGATTGTAGCTGGCCAGGCCCCTCTGTCCATGGGATTTCCCAGGCAAGAATACTGGAGTGGGTTGCCATTCCCTTCTCCGGGGAATCTTCCTGACCCAGGGATCAAACTTGGTCTCCTGCACTGGTAGGTGGATTCTTTACCACTAAGCCCCCTAGGAAGCCCGGGAAAACTCTTAGGATGTGCTAGAAAGCTTCCCTGTTTTCTTCTGGAGCTGAGGTTAGAGTTTTCCCTTCAAAACCAAGGAACTCACCAGTAGGGATATTTTTCACAGCTGGCGGCTATTAATCGGTGCCCCAGGTGCATGGAGGAAGTGGATTCACCTATACCCTTAAAACCTTCATGGGCAGGTAGGGCAGCTGAGTCACACACACGCACTTCTACTGCAAGGCGGTTGGCAGGATGTACAGACTGGTGAGGTGCAAGCAGACAGGAGGGGGATACCAAATCTGTGGGTGTGTGAGGTTGGCGGGGGGGTGGGAGAGGGGGAGAAGATGGGTACAGTTGAAAGGGACAGCAGAGGAAGCCCGGCCAGGAACCAGCGTGAACCAAGGCCTGGAGGTAAAAATAACATATGTTAAAAACATAAAACCTAGGCTGTTCTGGGGCGTGGCTGGGACCCAGATACTTGACCGGTAGGGCAGCAGGGAATGCAATCAAGAGGCTGAAGTTTTACTTTGAGCTGTGTGAGACTTGCAAGTTTTAGCCGTAGGGGGACGGGCAGGGTCACGTTTTGTAAATCACTCGACTTGGGTTAAGTAGACTGACACGGTGCTAAGAATTTTCTTTTTTTCAACAAATATTCTGTCGTGTGTCGGTTACGTGCTAGAAATTGGGCAGTGAGCAACAACGGCAAAAATTCAGTTGAGCCTTCCTTGAAAGCAACTTCCACATTTTATGAAAGAGGAAATGGAGGGTCGGCTTGATCCCGGCTTAAGGCTCTGTGTTTTGTGCCAGAAGTAACATGCCTCTGCGCAGTCTTTCTGAAGTCTCGGCGCACGTGGGTCGGACCGCCTGCGGGTCCTCCGCCTGCGCGCGCCGCCGGGCCATCTTCACCGCCCCGCCCGGCTGGGAGCCCGCCCCCAGCCCAGCGCACACGTGGGTTCTTGCACGTCCGCCCGGCTCCCCCTTGACGTCAGCCTCGCGGTTCCATTTAAGGCCCCTCCCGCGCCCCACTGAGTACCGGAGCCGCTGCCGCCAAGTCCGGATCCCACGCCGCGCGCCTCCGACGCCCGCCCGTTCGACGGTCACTCCCGGTACGGTCCGGCCGGGCGCGCTCTGCGCCCGAAGGCAAGGGCGATCGCTTAAGGCTTCACTGGCCCAGGCGTTGCCCATGGGGGTGGGGGGGGGGTCCCCGCTCTTGGGAGGTGTAGGCGCTGCTTCCAAAGGGCATAGTCCTGAGACCTGGGCGGTGGCCCCACACTACCAAATGGTCTCGGGGGCCGGCCGAACCCTGCTGCTGCTCTAAGTGGGCACAGTGGCCTCTGGCCGGACTGGGGAACCAAGGAGGTGGTCGCGCACCCAACCTGGGGTCGATGGTCCGGGTAGATGCAGACGGAATGGGAGACGACTGGTTGGGGAGGGGGGTGGAGTACACCTCCGGGCTTGAAATGAGCAAGCCGCACGGAGCTCGAAGTCAGGTTGCCGGAGTCCACGGAACCAAAAAAGCCTCAGCAGTCTGGGGCGGGTTCCCGGAAGCCGGAAAGCCGCTGGGTGCGCTCGGATCGCATTTTAATCCTGGCACTCTCGGGAGGTGGGCTCCTTGGGGCAGCCGCTGCCTGCAGAGGAGAGGGAGCTCTTGGCGCAAGTTACTTTTGTTAAGCAGCTGCCGCTGTATCAGTCGCTGAACTAGACGTGGTGCATGCAAATACGAAGGAGAAAGGGTACCAGCTCTTCCGCCTCTCAGTAGAATCAGAGGAGGATCATCTGGTACCTTCATCTCCTTTTAACAAACGGGGAACCTAAGGCCGATTAGGGCATTTCTAAGGTCACAGTGAGTGCCTGGCAGTGTTGGGGGAAGGTAGACAGACCCTCTTTCTCCAGGGCTCCACTCCCACCCGTATCCCCACACTGAAGGGAGCGCTGGAGCCCAGAGCTTCGGTTTTGGTGAAACCAGGAGATGTCTGCAGAAAGCACTCCCTTCCCCCTGCCAGGATGCAGAAACCTTTCAGGGCTGTCTAGAAATAGCAGTGATTTGTCAGGAGAGAGACTCGATTCCAGCTTGGTGACTCTGGGCTGCCTGCCTGCAAGTCCTCTCAGATATTTTTGCCCTTTGGAGCAGTGTCAAGATTAGACGTAGTGCTTTCGGGATGCAGTCTATGAAAATCTCTCCAGTGAACGCAGAACCACCCCTACCCTACCCTACCCCCCACTCTCCACCGCCCCCCGTCCTCCACAGCCCCGGCTCTGGAAATCGAGGCTTCCACCAAGAGGAACTTTATTGATGAACTTTAGGAGTCCGGGCTTCAGGTCTCTGCAGCTAACCCTGCAGTAACAAAATCTCCTCATACCAGGCCTCACGCCTTTGCAACAAAGATCACGGCGGAAGCCACGCGAGGTGCGTCCCTGTGAGTTGGCTAACAGTCCCTGGTGCCTGGTATCAAGATTTAAACTCTGGTTCTGGCAGCGCGCCAGGCCGGGGAGGCAGCCAGCCAGGCTTCACGAACAAGTGTGCTTCAGAGCGCGAGTTCAGTCTGAAAAAGTCTTGATTCCTAGCTCGTTCAGACCCACAGAGCAGTAGACTTCCTCCTCATCAGGTCCGCTTACGGGCGGGGCTCCGCAAGCCAGCGCTGGGCTGTCGGGGCTAGCGCTCACCTCTCAGTAGCCTGCGGCACCTAGGCGCACGACTTCTGCCTCCCGCCAGCGCTGTGAAGCGCGCTTGCGCACAAGATGAGGCGCGGGGCCTGGGCTGGGGAGGGGCGGCCGCTAATCTTCCGGGTCTGGGCGGGGCGTAAACTCCGCGGGCCCCTGCACACTGGCCACTGGATGGTCACTGCTTCTTCGGGGGCGGGGGTTGGGGACAGGGAGGCGAGCACTAGAGCTGCGCATGAGCAGAGCTCCCACGAGTTCTGGCTAGTGCTGTGAGGACGTTAGAGCCGCTTTACGCACGTACCTGTGGTCCTTGCGGGGCTTGGAGTAGAGTGCTCGTGGCCCTAAAGGGCTCGGCAGGAGGCCTGGTGCCTGCAGAAGTGTTGGGCCGGCGGCTCATAGTGATCTTGTTTGTAGAAAGGCTAGCTCCGCTTGGAGTTAATAAGTCAAGATGAGTGAGCCTTCAGGAGGCTATACTTATACCCAAACTTCAATATTATTTTTCCACGCCAAGGTGAGGAACTTTACACCAAGACCCTAGTCAGACCAGAGCCCAGCATTAGGCCTTTCGTTTCTTTGTCTGTCGGTAGGTTTCTTCCCTTCTCCTCCCTTTTAGTCATTTCTTGTGATTTTTAGGGGCAGGTATCCCAAAAGGAAGCGAAAGAAGCTTTTTCAGAACAGTTTTCGGAAGGGTGCAAGTGACAGTGCATGTTTTTTCCCTTATAGATTCCTTTAGGTTCTAAGTCCAAGATGGCAACTCTCAAGGATCAACTGATTCAGAATCTTCTTAAGGAAGAACATGTCCCCCAGAATAAGATTACAGTTGTTGGGGTTGGTGCTGTTGGCATGGCCTGTGCCATCAGTATCTTAATGAAGGTAAGTGAGAGCCTTTCACTTTCCAAGTCTCTTGAGGATACCTTGACTCCATCCATCTACTGTTTGCGCTCCAAGAATTGCATTATCACATCGTATATACAAATGTATATGCTCATGCACTCATTGAAAGAACTTTATGTGAAACAAACTTTTAATGCTATTAAAGGGTATCTAAACTACAAAATTTAAAGGTTTCTAGGTTGGAGACCCAGTTCCTTAAATTCACTGTGCTTTATTAACCTCGTTAGTTGCCTGCAAATGGAAAAGTAGAGTCTATGCCTTTAAGCAAGCTAAAATTATTTACAAGTAATTTTTGAATTGAAATCGACACATATACATGGTAAAATTAAACTGAATGTGGGAAGTCTTTTGTCCATGGTAATCCCCTCTGCCCCGCTCCTTGGATAGCAGTTTTGGTATCAATTATGGAACTAACATTTAATTAGAAAAAATTTGTGAATGAATAAAAAACACTTTATAGCATTCAAGCCTGGTTTATATTAAAAAGAAATTGAAAGAGCTTAAAGTTCAGATTTGGAGTTACTAGTAAGAGAGTGAAGTGATGAATTCTGGATTCCGAACAAAAAGGACTGAAATGAGAAGGGACTAAAGGCGGAAATGAGCTCTGCAAAGGTCTTGTAACCACGCAGGTTGCTCTGTGTGTTCTCAAAAGAGACCACTTGTTATCCAAAGTCTTTATTCCTTCCCCACTGGATCAGACATTGATAACATTTATTTTTCCCAAACCAGTGAACCACCTGTGGTCGTTTTCTGTGATGCCCCCTAACTGAGGTGTGGCTAAAAGTAACTGGCAGACCACTTATTACACTGTAGCTGATTAGGGGTAGATCTGCACCTCGGCTTTTATAATCACTTTGGTTATGATGGTCCACATTCCATTTGTATTAAAGCTATTATTGGTGCTCCTTGTCTGAGATGCACCTATGAACTTCTGTAGGTTCACCTGAAAGGATATTTTTCACCAACGTTTTGTAATGCACAAATCTGTCGATAAGTAAAACTTTATGTTGGTTAACATATGGAAAACATGTAACCAGGGAATGCTCTAGAATACCACTTTTTAGGCCTTAATACTAGTCTGTATCATCTATTTAATGACTAACAACCTAAAATCAACATGTAAAACTGAATTTGAGAGACTAAATAGAGCAGTTTTACATAACTGGATGGTACTCACCGCAAATTCAGTGTTCTGCTTCTGTGCAGTGGTGGTGGAGCTCCTGCCAAGGGTGCTCCGATGAGAGAGGGGATCAGTTCTTTTTCCTATGTCTATGTCATCTATGAGTCAGCTTTTAATGGGAGCCTACCTCTACTTTGAGGTACGTACCAATAATAAAGTAGCAGAATTCTCCTATACCAGAAATATGGAAATTTTGCATGGTTGTCTAAAAATTTGGAAATGATTATTTTCCATTGAACTAAAATTTTATGTCTTTCAGGACTTGGCAGATGAAATTGCTCTTGTTGATGTCATGGAAGATAAACTGAAGGGAGAGATGATGGATCTCCAACATGGCAGCCTTTTCCTTAGAACACCAAAAATTGTCTCTGGCAAAGGTTAATTTTGGCAAATTTATATTACATTCTGTGTTAGGTTTAATTCTTTATCAGGCTTGAAAATCCTATCAGTTCTTCAAATATTTCCTCTTTATACAGGATAAGAGCCTTTTAAACAATTTTGCATTGATATCTATAGATATCAATGTTTGAATTTCCAAAAGTGTTTTTAAATGAAAATCCAGTTTGTCCATGATGTGGAAAACATCTGGATTATAACTAGCAAAACTTCTTAGGTTCATAGTTTACCACATTGCTTCAAATATTTAAATGCACTTACTTCCACAGCATCGAAACATGTATATTATCTAGGGTGAAACAGATCACCAGCCCACGTTGGGTGCATGAGACAAGTGCTCGGGCCTGGTGCACTGGGAAGACCCAGAGGGATGGGGTGGAGAGGGAGGTGGGAGGGGGGACCAGGATGGGGAATACATGTAAATGCATGGCTAATTCATTTCAATGTATGACAAAAACCACTGCAATGATGTAAAGTAATTAGCCTCCAACTAATAAAAATAAATGGAAAAAAAAAAAGAAGAAAAAAATAAATGCACTTACTTCCATTACTTCCTTTCATAGACTAACACGAGGTTGAGACTAGGGTAAATGAGCCTGTTGAGCAGATATTCTTGGCTTGACCCTGTCACACTTTACAAGCACCAGCCAGGAAACAGACATGGGCCTAAATAGTCAGTTTTGACACTTGGAAACCATTGACCATTTATCTGATAGATGACTCTTTTCATTGTCTTCAACCCAGGAGTAACCATCCTGTGCCATAGGATATATAGAAGCAAGACATGCTTGATAAGTGTGAAGTTGCCTCTGCTTAAAAAAAAAAAAAACATCCCTGAGCTGATATGACCACAATTAAGTAGAAATAGGAGTGTGGAAAAGTGTGAACATTAAGCTCAGGTGGCAAAAAATTGGGGTGTGTGTCTCATTTGATATGAGTGTGAAATAAATTTTATTCCTTTCAGCTCCCCCCAGTCATAGTTATATAAAGCCACAATATAACTACATAATACAAGGAAGGTGTTGATGTAGTCTTCCTCCATGTAAGCAGCCACAGTGATAAAACTCCAAAAGTAAAGGAGTCTGAGCATATATGTGTATGCCACATACACAAAGCACTGATAGAACTGTCTATTTAAAAGGTTAATGGAACAGATTTTTGCTGGAGTTTTCTTAAAAGCCTTAATCTAGTTATTGTTTCTCTCTTGTCTAGACTATAATGTGACAGCAAATTCCAGGCTGGTTATTATCACAGCTGGGGCACGTCAGCAAGAGGGAGAGAGCCGTCTTAATTTGGTCCAGCGTAACGTGAACATCTTTAAATTCATCATTCCTAATATTGTAAAATACAGCCCAAATTGCAAGTTGCTTGTTGTTTCCAATCCAGGTGAGACTTTTAATGGCATAAAAATAGATGAGCTAGAGTAAAACTGATAGTGTGTATCATAATCTATATATATGTCTCATATTTCTCATTTTCCTCCTGAGAGTAAATTTGTGTTTTTGTAAAATAGTTAAATTTAAAACATCAAGGGGAAACAATGGCTTTAACATAGTTGGCACTTTAAAATTTGTAACTTGGCTAGGAAGATCTTGGATGAGGAATAATTATGAATAATGTGTTATTGATGCACAACTTATTTTCATTAAACTACACTTCTTGAAAACTTAATGTATTTGTTATACACAATATAGAGGCTTAAAAATATTAACAGAAATATTGATTGGTTGTGATAAATAGCAAGATCTATACAGAGCCATGAATCTTGTAGTCAGTCATTAGCTCATGATTCACATAGTGAAAATGTTAGTCTCTCAGTCGTGACCAACTCTTTGCGGCTCCATGGACTGGGGCCTGCCAGATTCCTCTGTCCATGGAATTCTGCAGGCAAAAATACTGGAGCGGGTAGCCGTTCCATTTTCCAGGGGATCTTCCCGACCCAGGGATCGAACCCAGGTCTTCTGCATTGCCGACGGATTCTTTACCTTCTGAGTCACCATGGAAGCCCAATTCACATAATAGCTCTGCCTAAATATTTTCTCCACAGTCGATATTTTGACCTATGTGGCTTGGAAGATAAGCGGCTTTCCCAAAAACCGTGTTATTGGAAGTGGTTGCAATCTGGATTCAGCTCGGTTCCGTTATCTCATGGGGGAGAGGCTAGGAGTTCACCCATTAAGCTGCCATGGGTGGATCCTTGGGGAGCATGGCGACTCTAGTGGTAAGTATGACTTCTTTATTGTTTGCAAAGATTGTGTAAAAAAATTGACAGGAATATAGTTACTGAATCAGAGCCTAAATCAGATTATCCATTTATTAGGGTAGATGGTTTCCAGAAATCTTATCTCTTGGTATAATTATATGCTAGAATTGTTAAGATTTTAGTCATTTTTGTGTGACATATTTTGGTATAAGGGATGAAGAATGGAATTTATTATAATGAACATATTAAATAAGATGATAGTTCTTAAAATCACAGCTGTTTATGGGCAAACTGCTTGTCCCTGAAAAGGACAGCTAATCCAAATGGAGTATATGAGAAAAATCTCTTATCACCGTTGAAAGATGTTATAATTTGTGCAGAGTTCTCTGTTCCTTATGGCAAGAAAATTCCTCTTATGATCTCATAATATCCCATCTCTATATTTCACATTAGAATAAAGCAGATTAGCATACAATGAAAATTCTTAGCTTTACATAATTTAATCAGTGAAAATCTAAGAGTATTGGTAGTCTTGACCACCTACCAAAAGGGGATAATCTTCCTCAGATAAGAAAACACAATTTCTGGAGAATGGGTCAGAATTATTGGTCAGCTAGGTAGTGCTTGGGAGTAAATATATTCTGTACCTGTATTTTTAGTGCCTGTATGGAGTGGAGTGAATGTTGCTGGTGTCTCCCTGAAGACTTTACACCCTGAATTAGGCACTGATGCAGATAAGGAACAGTGGAAAGCGGTTCACAAACAGGTGGTTGACAGGTAATAGCTCTCATAGTTTGTAACACAGAAGGTTAAAATTTATTATTTTTATTTAAGAAATTAAAAGTTTTGGAAATTCCCTGGTTGTCCAGTGGTTCGGACTTGAGCTTTCACTGCCGAGCTTGTGAGTTCATCCCTGGTTGAGGAACTGAGATCTGGCAAGCCTCGCACGTGGCCAGAAAGAAAAAAGAGTAAAAGTTTAATAACCTTTGCATTTGGTAACTGTCAGAAAACTTGTTTTCTAAAGCTTGTTAAAACTCGTACTATAAAACAGGTAAAGGTATTAGATATTGCAGGCATGTATTAATGTTAGTCTACTTTTATTTGCCATAATTCTCAATTTATAGTATGATAACTCTTCCTGTATTTGTAAACTCAGATATAAAACAAGTCTACTTGATTTGAGATTCAGTCTTTACTTCAAAAGCATGTATCATTGATTTAATTAGGAATAAGAATTTTTTAATCTAAGTTCTTATAATAATCTATGAAGAGAAACACAACTAGCTGCTTGTTAACACAGATGATTATAAAGTTTTAAGCAAGATACAAATTCATCATGGTACACAAAATAATTAACTGTTAGAAATTGTTCAAATAGGGAAACTTGCAACTTACTGGCATTATTTACTTTAAATAAGGTAGCCATGTGTAGACCTCAGGTCTTTGGAATTGAAGAATGAATCATGATTAGTCTAAGCAAGGCCCTCTGATTTCTATTTGTTAAAACCTGTGAACCCATCATCCAACCCAAGAAATGTTGACGGTTGCTGTAGTGTTTGTTGAGTTGGAATTATTAGTCTGCTGGTGCTTGGAAATGAGTGGATTCTGTGCTCTTCCCACTTACCCCTAACCCCCCACCCCCACATACACACTTGAGATAATCCCAAATCAAGCATGCAGTATGTAATCTCGGATCAGCTTTTTTAAATCTAGTATTGCATTTATAAGAATCATCTGTTTTGTTGCCTGAGCCATAGTTGTTTGTTTTGACAACTGTGTATAATTTATCCATCCTCCTGTTGAAGGACACTGGTGTTGTTGCCAGGTTCTTGAACATCCCCATACATAATATCCTGGCATACATGTGCAAGGGTTACACTTAGGTATATAATGCAACTCTAGTATTTATATAGTATTAGTTATTATATCAGTGATTTCTCATAAAGCATATGTTCAGTGAAAGCTTTTTCTTCGTTCCTCCTACCCTACCTATTCCTGTCTTCGCTATCCTACAGTGCTTATGAGGTGATCAAACTGAAAGGCTACACATCCTGGGCCATTGGACTGTCAGTGGCCGATTTGGCCGAAAGTATAATGAAGAATCTTAGGCGGGTGCATCCGATTTCTACCATGATTAAGGTAGGTCTATGTAGTAAAATGTACTTGAATGCCATTATTTCCTGTTTTGTTTTGTTTTTTAAACTCATTTCAGAAAGCAATTAGATTAAGTCCTCAATCATTGATTTGAGTGAAATAAATTAGTGCACCTGCAGCTTTCTTTTTTGAAAAGACATGGTTGAACTTTAGGATTAATGTGGTTAGTACTGTGGTTATTAGCACATAGATACTTAATAATAACCTGTTGACTGAAAAACTTGATTCAGTTTTGTTGAGATGAGTGGAAGACTATAAAAGACACATTTTTCTCCTTTGGAGAAAAATAGAAATCACACTCAAAGTCACCGAAGTGTCAGGCAATAAAAATTGCAAAGTATGAGGGATGATAGCAATAATGTAGATTTTCTTTTAGAATGGAAGTCTTGCTGCTATTTTAATGACTTTCTTTTACCCTTGTCATTACATCCTAACTGAAAATCTAGGAAGAAATTCTACTTGCCAAGTTGTATTAAGTAAGCTTCATGATTGTAGAGAATAGAAAGTCTTGGGAGATGCCAGAATGCATAGAAAAAACATAAAATATTTTTCATTTCATCCTCAGGGTCTCTATGGAATAAAAGAGGATGTCTTCCTTAGTGTTCCTTGCATCTTGGGACAGAATGGAATCTCAGATGTTGTGAAAGTGACTCTGACTCATGAGGAAGAGGCCTGTTTGAAGAAGAGTGCAGATACACTTTGGGGGATCCAGAAAGAACTGCAGTTTTAAAGTCTTCTAATGTATCACTTCACTGTCTAGGCTACACAGGATTTTAGTTGGAGGTTGTAACTCATACTGTCCTTTATATCTGATCTGTGATTAAAACAGTAATGTTAAGACAGCCTAGGGAAAAATCAATTTCCTAATGTTAGAAATAGGAATGGTTCATAAAACCTTGCAGCTGTATCCTGATGCTGGATGGCACTTACCTTGTGTGGTCCTAAACTGGTTTGTCAAATAATTCAGCTTCCTCAAGAGGTACCACTGCCCATGTTGCAGATGCTGCAGTTGCCCTTCAAACCAGATGTGTATTTACTGTGTTATATAACCTCTGGTTCCTTTAGCCAAGGTGCCTAGTCCAACTTTTTCCCTCCAGTGAATCACATCCTGGGATCCAATGTATAAATCCAGTATTGCATGCCACGTGCATAACTGTTCTAAAGAATCTTACGTACTGTATGAATCAGAATAGTGTACACTGCCTTGTAATGTAAAAGGGAAAAATTACATAAATAATGCCGCCAACTAAGTGTTACCCCAACTAAATAAATAAAGCTTGAACAGTGACTAGTCTGGTAATTAAGATACAAAGTCATAAAGCTGTTATTTGTTCATTACATAAATGGGAGCCATTGGGTTATTGGGCTGCACTGAAATGAATTTTTTAAGGGGTACTGTTTACTAATGACCAGACTTTATTAAGAATTAAGGGTGTGATTAGATTGGCTAGACTGTTTTGTTACCATTTCCATTGTAATCATTTTAATATACTAAGCCCTCAAATATTATGAGATAATTTGATTATAGTGCTAATCATAACTGGTACTCTACAATTCACATAGGTAACACCCTATACATAGATGTAAAAAACATTATTTGCCGACTGAACATAAGTAGTGGTTCTGTGCCACTACAGAGGGGAGATTTTTAAGAACCTTCACTCTGGAGGCCAGTAACAATTGTTTTTCAGTCACTAAGCTGTGTCCGATTCTGTGACACCATGGTCTGGTCTGCAGCATACCAGACTTCCTTGTCCTTCAGTAAGTCTTGGGAGTTTGCTCAAACTCGTCCACTAAGTCAGTGATGCCATCCAACCATCTCGTGGTACTTAATTTTAAACCAAATAGTCCTGGTGGTTATCTACTCAAAAATTTTCTTTAGATCTCCCTCAAAATATTTCTATAACTATGACCTTCTTCAGGCCTAAAAACCATACTTCCAGAGGTTAACTAGAACAACTTTACGGTCATCACTTCCAGAATTTTCCCCCAAACTTTCCTACTTAGAGACAGTTAAGAGAACTATGTTTTTTAATGGGTCTCAAAAGTAGAAGGATAAGACTAGCCTACATAGGGCTTACAATTAGCTGTTATAATAGGATTTGCTTTCCTACAGACTTCAGTAGCCTTGATGCGTTACATAGCACAAAATTCACCCTTTTAAAGTGTACAGTTCTATGAATTCACATAGTTAGGCAACTATTACCACTGCTGCTACTGCTAAGTCACTTCAGTCATGTCCGACTCTGTGTGATCCCACAGACGGCAGCCCACCAGGCTCCCCCATCCCTGGGATTATCCAGGCAAAAACACTGGAGTGGGTTGCCATTTCCTTCTCCAACTATTACCACTAAGAACTGTTAATTATTCCCCCCAAAGAAATAGGAAGTTATTCCTATACCCTTTTGTAGACTCTGATGCAGTCTTTTAAAAAACATATTTACCCTTATTGTTGACATAATAAATTAGCTAATATCAACATGACAAAACGGTTAACATTAAATATTTCGTGAATTTTCAGATTTAATCTCGTAAAGCTTCCTTAGTTTCGGGCATACTGTATGTTCCATGTTCACCACGTATCTTTCTGCCCTAGGTAAGGGTAGGCCAACTCTGCAAGGCGCCCTGATTGTTTTTAATGGAATATGATCTCATTTTTATAACCTCGGGAAGTGGACAAAGCAGGCCTTGGCCCCATCTTAAAACAAGTTGCCATTTAGTGGAAGAAGCAAAGGGGATGTTCAGAATATGTGCCTTGGGCAGGTATGAAGAGCCTCTTTCTTCACCTACAGCAGGAGTTTGATCACTATGAAAATGACACGGCATGCAGGTGTAAAGCTTGGATCTGGAGGTCATCCACGTCAGCACTATCTCATACTCAGTCTCTAGTAAATGAGGTGTACAAGGGCCAGAAGATGTGGAAGGAAGTAAACAAGCCAAGTGGTAGTACAGATTCAATAGCCACTGCCACACCTGAGAAGCCCTTGCCTGGGGCTAGTAATAGGTTGTGAAAAGTGCCATAAGAGAAACAGGTGAGATGTTGGGAGGGGATGGTAGTTGATACATTTGTCAAAGAAAGTTAGGAAGTGCCATTTTTGTTCAAAACTGAAAATGAGGAATCAACTTTTGACAAGGGCTGGGGAAGAACTTTGCAGACATACACAACAGAAAAAGTCCTGAAATGGGAAAAAGCTGTCCAAAAGCTGGAAGGAAGTGTGGTGTCTTGAGAAGAAGTTGGAGGGATGAAAGGAGGCCACGTATTGACCATTTCTTCAGTTCAGTTCAGTTCAGTCACTCAGTCGTGTCCGACTCTTTGTGAACCCATGAATCGCAGCACGCCAGGCCTCCCTGTCCATCACCAACTCCCGGAGTTTACTCAAACTCATGTCCATTGAGTCGGTGATGCCATCCAGCCATCTCATCCTCTGCCGTCCCCTTCTCCTCCTGCCCCCAATCCCTCCCAGCATCAGGGTCTTTTTCAATGAGTCAACTCTTCGCATGAGGTGGCCAAAGTATTGGAGTTTCAGCTTCAGCATCAGTCCTTCCAATGACCATTTCTTAGATCACAGTAAAAATTAGTTAAGTGCACTGGAAAGCCATTGAAGGATTTTAAGCAGACTTATTGCATAATCTAAACTACATTAAAACAACAACAACAAACTACTGGCTTTTATACAGAAAATGGATTACCCTTTATATTTTGAAAAGGATTCAGATGCAAGTGATGACAAAAGCTGACAGGTGAGGTTGTGTCCCAACCTGTGAGTTATAAATTCCCTGCGTAAATTAAAATCACCTTAGCCATGCCCTTTCCTTTTCATTACCACCTTGTTCTCTCAGTTCAGCATTTCGAAGCATCATCCTCAGGATGCTGGTTTTAGCTGGCCCACTGGTGAACAGCAGGTGCTCGCCTGAGAGTTCTTTCCCATGAAGGCTTCGAGCTTGCCCCCTTGCCCACCAGGTGGGTCTGGTCTCCAAAGTTTCAGCTTTTAAATCAGTCTGAGGCCTAGACCAGCCGAAGGAAATGAAACGACATACCAATATCCCTCTCTTGCACACTTTTCGAGACCAACTAAAATTCCTCACACGGAGATTACGACAACACAACAGCAGGTACCCACGACCCCACTCACACCAGAAGACAAGCCCCTCCTAACGCGCCTGCGCCCGAGGCGGCCGTGGGGCGGAGCTTGCGTGCGTGCGTAGGAGCGTGCTTGCCTAACGGTTCAGACTATAACGGTCGCTGCGCTTCCCGCCTCTACTGACGTCGCTGTGTGTCTTTTGGTGGTGTAGCTCAAAAAGCGACTTAAAGGTCGCGCGTTGTGCGTTCTGGTTGTCTGTACTGACTTGGGCCACACGATAAGCGTTTGTGAGTGACTGGGACTGGAGTGAAAGTGGTGACTTGGGGCAGGGAAAAGTTTTAAAAACCTCTTAGTTTCCCAGTCCCTAACACTGATAGATACACTCGTCGGTTTTCGACCTCTCCACACCTCGCGAGCAGGTATTTTTTTCCCTTTGACTTCTGACATTCTGCAAATTCATGAGGTACTTCCATAGGTATGGGAGTGATTAGTTCAGGGAGATTGCTTCCTCTGAAATTACATTATCTCTATCAGGTTCTCAAAATGTCATCTGTCAAGGAGCAGCTTATTGAGAATCTAACTGAGGAAGATAAAGTCTCCCAGAGTAAGATCACCATTGTTGGAACTGGTGCTGTAGGCATGGCCTGTGCGATTTGTATCTTGCTGAAGGTAAGTGATAAGCTTGTACTGTGACTGAAAATAAGTGAGCACTGATAGGTCTTGTAGATGTTGAGCGCAGGGTTGCAGGGTTAACCCCTTGACAGCAAAGAAGTATCACCTGATTTTTTACTTAAGAAACATTTATGTAGAGTTTACCATGTGTGAAGCATGGTCAGGCTGTTTAAATTTATTCATAGGAGACACATTGATTATATTATTTTGTTAAGATTAAAATGTAACCGTAGCAAAATAATTTTGTGAATTTTATGGGCTTCCCCGATGGCTTAGCTGGTAAAGAATCCACTTGTAATGCAGGAGACACAGGAGACCAGGGTTCAATCCATGGATCAAAAAGGTCCCCTGGAGGAGGAAATGGCAACCCACTTCACTATTCTTGCCTGAAAAAAATCCATGAACAGAGGATCCTGGCAGGCTGCAGTTCAAAGGGTGGCAAAGAATTGGACATAACAGTGACTAAGCACACATGTGTTTAGTCAGACTATTTAAACTTATTCATAGAAACATTGATTATGTTATTTTGTTAATATTATATAACATTTTCTGTTAAAGTGATTCATCACTTTGCCTTTCTTGAAGAGTGATGTGTGAAAATCATATTTCCCAGTGGTTTATACTTACATTTTTTTAATTATATAAGCATTACGTGCTCATTATAAAGCAAATTTGATAAAATAACAATGGAAGTCCCTTAATTTTCCTTACTATTTCCAGAATATCTTTCCATGTGCCTGTTGGCTATTTATATAGCTTTGAAGAAGTGTCTGTTTCAAATCTTTTGCCCATTTTTAAATTGAGTTTGTTGTTGAGTTGTAGGAGTACTTTTTATATTCTAAATACTAACTGCTTATTAGGTAAATAATTTACAAATATTGGGTTTCTCTTGTGGCTCAGCTGGTAAAGAATACACCTGCAATGCTGGTGACCTGGGTTTGATCCCTGGGTTGGAGAGATCCCCTGGAGAAGGCAAAGGCTGCCCACTCCAGTATTCTGGCCTAGAGAATTCCATGGACTGTATAGTCCATGGGATTGCAAAGAGTTGGACATGACTGAGTGATTTTCATTTCACTTTCAAAAATTTTCACCCATTCCTTGGGTTTCCTTTTTGTTCTGTTGGTTGTGTCCTTTGATACACATAAGTTTTAAATTTAAAAATTTATTGGACTATAGTTGCTTTACAATGTTGTGTTTCTGCTGTACAGTGGAATGAATCAGCTATATGTATACATTTTTGTTGTTCAGTTGCTCAGTCGTGTCTGATTCTTTGCCACTCCATGGATTACAGTACATCAGACTTCCCTGTCCTTTACCATCTCCCAGAGCTTGCTCAGGCTCATGTCCATTGAATCAGTGATGCCATCCAACCATCTCGTCATATGTCATCCCCTTCTCCTCCTGCCTTCAATCTTTCACAGCATCAGGGTCTCTTCTAATGAGTTGGCTCTTCACATCAGGTGGCCAAAGTATTGGAGCTTCAGCTTCCAGTGGATATTCAGGGCTGATTTCCTTTAGGATTGACTGGTTTGATCTCCTTGCAGTCAAAGGGACTCTCAAGAGTCTTCTCCAACATCACAGTTCTAAAGCATCAATTCTTTGGTGATCAACTCTTTTGATCCAGCTCTCACATCCATACATGACTGGATGTGAGAAAAACCTTCCAGACCTTTGACTACTTTGTGGGCAAAGTAATGTCTTTGTTTTTTAATTTGCTGTCTAGGTTTGTCATAACTTTTCTTCCAAGGAGCAAGTGTCTTTTAATTTCATGCCTGCAGTCATATTCTGCAGTGATTTTGGAGCCCAAGAAAATAGTCTGTCACTGTCTCCATTGTTTCCCCAACTGTTTGCCATGAAGTGATGGGACTGGATGCCATGATCTTAGTTTTTTGAATGTTGAAGTTTAAGCCAGCTTTTTCACTCTCCTCTTTCACCTTCATCAAGAGGCTCTTTAGTTCCACCATAAGGATGGTGTCATGTGCATATCTGGGTTATTAATATTTCTCCTGACAATCTTGATTCCAGCTTGAGCTTCATCTAGCCCGGCATTTCCCATGATGTGTTCTGCATATAAGTTAAGCAGGGTGACAACATACAGCCTTGACGTACTCCTTTCCCAATTTTGAATCAGTTCCTATTATTCCATGTCCCATTCTAACTGTTGCTTCTTGACCTGCATACAAATTTCTCAGGAGGCAGGTAAGGTGGTCTGATATTCCCATCTCTTTAAGAATTTTCCACAGTTTGTTGTGATTCACACAGACAAAGGCTTTAGCATAGTCAGTGAAGCAGAAGTAGATATTTTTCTAGAATTCTCTTGCTCTTTTCTATGATCCAATGTATGTTGGCAATTTGATCTCTGGTTCCTCTGCCTTTTCTAAATCCAGTTTGAACATCTGGAAGTTCTCGGTTCACGTACTGTTGAAGCCTAGCTTGGAGAATTTTGAGCATTAGTTTGCTAGCTTGTGAAATGAGTGCAATTGTGTGGTGATTTGAACAGTCTTTGGCATTGCCTTTCTTTGGGATTGGAATGAAAGCTGACCTTTTCCAGTCCTGTGGCCCCTGCTGAGTTTTCCAAATTTGCTGGCATATTGAGTGCAGCACTTTGAACAGCATCATCTTTTAGGATTTGAAATAGCTCAGCTGGAATTCCATCACCTCTACTAGCTTTGTTTGCAGTACTTCTACCTAAAGCCCACTTGACTTCTTAAGCAAAACCCATTTGAAGAAAGGCAGATTCCAAAGCAAATACATAGTTTCATTAACATATCTTAAGAAAAACATTTCCATAAGAAAAACGCATTGGTTTGCTGAGCCATTAGCAGCTCAAAGTTAAATTCAGGTGTGATGGAGTGTCCCAACAACACAAGATTAGAAGAGAGAGAGAAAAACATATCTGCCACTTGCAGTTTGTTTCCTCCTGCCCCTTAGGTATCCCTAGCCTTCCTACCTGACTGTCATTCCTAGCCCCTCTTTTTTGGACTTCCTTCCATTTAGGTCACCACAGAGCACTGAGTATAGAGTTCCCTGTGCTGTACAGTAGGTTCTCATCAGTTATCTACTTTATGCATAGTACCAATAGTATGTATATATCAATCTCAGGTTCCCAATTCATCCCACCTCCTTCTCCCCCTTGGTGTCCATATGTTCTCTACATCTGTGTCTCTTATTTCTGCTTTGCAAATAAGAGTTCTTATGTACCATATGTACCATTTTTCTAGATTCCATATATATGCATTAACATGCAATATTTGTTTTTCTGACTAACTTTGTAGTTCAGTTTATCTTTTTACTTTTGTTATTGTACTTTTGGTGTTTTATCCAAAAATCACTGCCAAACCCAATGTCATGAAGTTTTCCCTCTATCTTTTCTTCTAAGGGTTTTATAGTTTTGGGTCTTACATTTAGCTCTTTGATCCATTTTTGGTTAATTTTATCTATGGTATAATGTAAACAGTCCAACCTTATTCGTTTGCATGTAAATGTCCAGTTATCCTAATACCATTTGTTGAAAATGCTGTCCTTTCCCTATTGAATGATCCTGGCACTCTTTTCAAAAAATACCTGACCACATATGTGGGAGTTTCCCCCCCTGGACTCTCTTCTGTTCCATTGGTCTATATGTCTCTTTATGTCAGTACCACACTGTTTTAATTACTGTAGCTTTGTCATAAATATTGAAATCAGGAAGCTTGACACCTTCTATATTCCTTTTAAAGATTGTTTTGCTTATACAGAGTCTCTTGAGATTCCATAAGAATTTTAGAATGGAATTTTCTAATTCTTGAAACAAATGCCATTGGAATTTTTGTAGTGGTTGCATTAAATCTGAAGATTGCTTGGAGTAGTATTGATGTCTTTTTTTTTTTTTTTATATTGATGTCTTAATAACACTTTATTTTCCAGTCCATGAACATAGGATGTCTGTTTATTTATTTCTTCTTTAATTTATTTCAGCAGTTTTGTAGTTTTCATTGCTAAGTTTTTCACCTCTCTAAATGTTTTAAAGGTAATTTTTTATTTTAAAGGTATTTTTTAATCTTTATAACAACCTTAGGAGGTAGGTACTGTTATCATCTCCATTTATAGATTAAAATACTGAAGCATATATGTTAAAGAGCTTGCTCATGGTCAAATGCCTAGGAGGTGAAAGGGCCAGAATTCACTTCTGTTTTCTAAGCCCATAGACACTGTGCTCATTTATTATGCCTGGGCCATATGCCCACTTGTGAAGTAACTGCTGAGTCCAGAAGGAAGGATGAAACAACTGGTTGGGTCTGGGTGTATGGTTACTTACCTACCCCTAAGTTGGAGGGCCAGTGTTAATTATAATATACCAAGCCACATGAAGTGGTTTCCCAGAGGTGCCTACCTTTCATTTTTGGCCATAAGGATTCATACTAAAAACAGCTTCAACCAATTCAGAAATTAGGCATAAGGGTTAAATATAATAAAATCCTTTGGAAGGATTTCATACGTTTTCGTTTGTTTTAAAGCTGTTATCTGAAATCGGAAAAAAAAACAATTCTGAAAAACTTAACAATTACATGAAGGCAAAACAATTAATACTTTTTGCTGCATTCTGTTGTTTACCTTAACTTCTGGTGTCTTTAGGTACATTCAGTTCAGTTCAGTTCAGTTGCTCAGTCGTGTCTTGACTCTTTGCAACCCCATGGACTGCAGCACATCAGGCCTCCCTGTCCATCACCAACTCCCGGAGTTTACTCAAATTCATGTCCGTTGATCGGTGGTGCCATCCAATCATCTCATCCTCTGTCGTCCCCTTCTCCTTCTGCCTTCAATCTTTACCAGCATCAGGATCTTTTCAAATGAGTCAGCTTTTTGCATCAGGTGGCCAAAGTATAGGCACATTAAAAGACTTTTTTTCTTTTTGGCCAAGCCTTGCAGCTTGTAGGATCTCAGTTCCCTGACTAGGGATTTAGAGATTGAACCCAAACCATGGCAGTAAAAGTCCAAAATCCTAACCACTAGGCCACCAAAGAACTCCTGTAAAGAATTATTATTTTTATATCACTTTTTCTACTAAAAATGTAGCACTTCTTTGCAGATTCTTTACCATCTGAGCTATAGGGAAGTCCAATTATAAAATAACCACATAAAATTTTTTCTTTTTCTCTTAAAATTGAAATGGGAACATTTTATTCAGACCTTTCATGTATTTTAGGATTTGGCTGATGAGCTTGCCCTTGTTGATGTTGTATCAGACAAACTGAAGGGAGAAACAATGGATCTTCAGCATGGCAGTCTTTTCTTTAATACTTCAAAGATTGTCTCTGGAAAAGGTTAGTTTTATAAAATTATTTTCAAAACTTAAAAAAAAATAGTGAAGTCTATCAAATTGTTGTCAATAAGTATAAAATTTAAAATAGCCCCTTTGTAATTAGGACATATAATTTAGAAGGTTAATTTTTAAAAAAAGAACATTCCATTCTGATTGGAGAATATTTGATAAATATAAAAACAGTATTAAATTTTTTGAATCTCTCTTGTTAATGGTTTTGTGTATGTCTTTACTTTTTTCTATTCATTTGTTTTTTTACACAACTGACATTGTATTATATAAATGCTTTTGAAACTTGTCATTCAGTTGTATATATTTTCCCAAAGATATGCAGTCTTAAATAGTTTTTGTGATATTATTGATACATTTATCTATATTCTTGTTTTTTTAGATGTGTGTATCTATATGTTTTAACTTGTTTTTTAGACAACCAGGCTTCAGGGTATAGTTTGAAGCTGTAGAAGAGGAAATGGAGAGCTTAGCCCCATTAGCATTAGCGTTATATTTTGGCCAACTAAGAATGCTTAGAGAATTAGGAAAAATAATTATTTTATCATAAAGTATTATATATAGTGTGCTTTTTGGTAATGTGATTCAACAGATGTACTTGCTACTAGAAGCCCTCTTGTCTAACATAATTGGAACTGAAAATAGTTACTTACTTTTAAAGTGCCTGTTAGAACCATCATAAAATTTTATATTGACCTGAAACATGTAAAATGTACAAGAACTTCATTTGCTAATTTTCTGATTGGAGGGTAAGACCTTTGAGCATGCTCAACTGATTGGAGTTTTTGCAATTTTTTTTTTTTAATAGCAAACCAGTAATAATCATTTCTATTTCTTTAAAGTACCATAATTAAAGATACTCATGAAGCAGTCTAATCACAAAACGCTAATAAATTTTTATAGTTTTTCTTCATTTTTATTTCTCTTATAACTAAAAGGAAGATTTTTAAAGATTTTTATTTTAACATGTCTTTCTAAAGCATTCAACTTAATTTTCATAGTAACAGTCATTAAAAAATTAACTATGAAATACCTGAGATGTAAAAAAGAGCTAGAGCTTAAGTATAACAAACATCAATGTAGCCAGCACATAGCAAAAGAAGTAAAACATTACCAATTCACTTGACACATTGTGTGTGTTAAATCTATTCACATCTCAATCCTGAATGTCATGTTTACTATGTATTTCTTTCACCCTCATATTTTAGTGGTTTACGTCGTATTATGTAATTAATATATCTGGCATAAATATGTTTGGGTAGAAACATGACAAATTCTTGATATGCAGCAACTCACAAGCACAGAAGTATACAGACATACATATTAGAAGTCTACTATTAATAGTTGAGAGTGTTCAGTGTACCTTGGGTATCAGTATGTTTTACATCAGTTAATCTATTGAATTTGTTGAGCAGAGTCAAGTTAAAAAGCTACTCCTGTATTAAAATACTTTTAAAAATCATTCAGCTTTTAATTTCTAGTAATATGGCAGGATAAGTACCTGAATCAATCCTTTTGCTATAAATAACAAAACTTCTGCAAAAAATATGAAAGAGTAAATATCAATACTTAAAGAATTGATATGCTCTTAATAAAATTAAGACATTTTCAGAGCAGGTGCTGAATGAAGACAGGAAATTATAGAGTTAAACAGCACTGTTGCTAGTTTTCACTAGCTAGCATTAGCCAAACCTAGTGAACTTGAATTTTGGTTTTCCCTGCCTCACAGGACTTAGCAGACTGGAGACAGCCTAATTTGAGAGGTGCGTAGGAAATAACCCCATAAAGCAAGACCCCAATGGACTACACCAGGGATCAGTAAACTTTTTTCTGTAAAGGGTCACATAGTATTTCAGGCTTTGTGAGCAACATAGTCTCTGTCAAAACTTGCAGCCCGCCTGTTATATTAAAGCATCCATTGACAATACATAAGCATGTGGGTGTGGCTATGTTCCAAAGAGACTTTATTTACAAAAACAGGTAGTAGAACAGATTTGGCTTGCTGGCCTTAATTTGCCAATTTCTTAATGTAAGAATGACCTAGAAATAATTCCCTTCTCCCTATCTCTGGGAACTGCAAGTAAAATTGACTGTCTCAGAAAAGCTTTAGTAAAAGAGGGAAATGGCTGCTAAGGATTTGGAGCCACAAGTTGGCCCTTAATTAAATTCCAATAAAAGCTTAGCAATCTTAAGATAGTCTCTGGAGGAAATACATTTTATTTAAGACCTCAAAGAATTTCCCCAAATAAAGTTTCATGGAAGGTAAACATGTCACAGTATGAATAATTAAATCTACAAGAAAAAATGAGCAAGAACCGACAGAGGCCACAGTAGGTTTCTGATAAAGAAGTTATAAAACAAATTATAATTTAACTGTGATTATTTAAAGAATAAAGCACAAGCTTGAAAATATCAGTATAAGATAGGAAACTGTAAGAAAAAGAACAGATTTTTAGAAATAACCAAATATTAATATAACTTCTGAATATGAAATGGAATGAAACAAAAAATTAATAAATTTGATAATACAGCAGACATATTTGAAGAAACAAGTGGTGAATCTAAGGCAATTACCCAGAAGATGGCAAGAAGTAGAAAATATGACAGGTTAAGAATCATGGAGGATAGAGTGAGACAGTGTAAAATACTTAGAAGAGTGAATGAGGCAGAGAAAATACTTGAAAAGATTTTGATTCAGCATTTTGGAGAAGATGGATTCAACCCAAATAATCTCAAGACGGATAAATAAAAATCCCCATCTACACACAGTCTTGTGAAGTTAGAAAACTTTAAAAACAAAGAGAATTTTAAAATGATCAGAAAACAAATTACCTACAGAAAAGGGAGGGGGAGGCAGACTGACTTATCAATAGTAGCGGTGAAAGCTGAAAACAGTGGAATGATATCTTTAATGTGTGCCCGGACTTAGTTGCCCCAGGCATATGGGGTTTTAGTTCCCACACCAGGGATGGAACCTGACTCTTCTGCATGGGACCTCGGATTCTTTTTTTTTTAAACCCTTTTGTGGAGGTCTGACGTTCAGTAGATTGCTGTAAGGGAGCCATTCTGTTACGTATGAAACCCAGACCCAGAAGCAGGTCTTCTAGGAATGGTTTAGCACCAGGTTCCCAGGAACCATGCCATGCGTGTCAGGGGAGAGGGCAACCTCCTTTCTGGGCTGTACGCCGAGTTCCAGGACGAAGCACTCTCTGCACCGGACTCTGGTCCCTATGTGGTGGGTGCACAGCCCCAAGGGATGTGGATGGCAGCCCAAGGAATGCAGATTCTTGACCAGTAGACCACCAAGGAAGCCCTATAATACTTTTTTAAAAGTGCACTGTGGGATACTGAACATCATGTTGTTGGGCTTAATAAGTGAAATACTTTACAACTGGTCAGCAAATTTAGAAGGTTAATTTTCTTATGTGGAAGGTTAATTTTCTTATGTGAATGAAGAACATTTTTATGATCTTAAACATAGCCCCTCACAATAATTGTAATACATTCTCACTCTTCAAATCCTCAAACACACATAAATTCTCAGAATTCTAAGCTTTTGATTCATATGGTATTTCTAAGAATCTAGAGAGTTGAGTTGCATTGCCTCAGGCTTTAATAAAAAATGGAAATGTGGGCTAAAAGGGATGGTAGGTTCTATTATTTTACTCTTTTAAATCGGTGTGAACATTGGTAAATCATTAGTGACAAGATTTCCTTCAGGTTATACTAGGTAACACTGTTGTTCAGTCGCTCAGTTGTGACCCACTCTTTGCAACCTCATGGACACCATGAGCAGGCTCAAGCATGCCAGACTTCCCTGTTCTTCACCATTTCTCTGAGTTTACTCAAACCCATGTCCATTGAGTCAGTGATGCCATCCAGCTGTCTCATCCTCTGTCACCCTCTTCTCCTCCTGCCCTCAATTTTTCTGAGCATCAGGGTCTCTTCCAATGAGTCAGCTCTTAATATCAGGTGACCAGTGTATTGGAGCTTCAGCTTCAGCATCAGTCCTTCCAATGAATATTCAGGGTTGATTTCCTCTAGGATTGACTGGTTTGATCTCCTTGCTTTCAAAAGGACTGTCAAGAGTCTACTCCAACACCACAGTTCTAAAGCATCAATTCGTCAAGATTCAGCCTTCATGGTCCAACTTTGTTGGCAAAGTGATGTGTCTGCTTTTTAATACAGTGTCTTGGTTTGTCATAACTTTTCTTCCACGGAGCAAGCGTCTTTTTTTTTTTTTTTAGTTCTACCACTTTATTGCTACCAACCCATCTCCCTCCACCCTCGTGCACACATGCTCAGTCATGTAACCCCATGGACTGCAGCCCGCCAGACTCCTCTGTCCATGGACTTTTCCAGGCAAGAATACTGGGGTGGGTTGCCATTCCTTCTCCACGGAGCAAGCGTCTTTTAATTTTATGGCTTCCCTGGTGGCTCAAACAGTAAAGAATCCGCCTACAATTCAGGATACGCAGGTTTGATCCCTGGGTCAGAAAGATCTCCTGGAGAAGGGAATGGCTACCATCTCTAGTATTCTTGCCTGGAGGATTCCATGAACAAAGGAGCCTGGCAGGCTATAGTCCAGAGGATCCCAAAGAGTCAGACATGACTAAGATAACATTACTGTGTGGAAAATGTGTTCATTTGCAAGTGCAAGCCATGATAGTAATGGAGTACTTTAATACTATCACCATACAATAGACTTTTAAAGAATTAAAGCACAGAGATCATGGCAGTCTTGATCCAAATATTTTCTTTTGTTTCCTTCTTTAGATTACAGTGTATCTGCAAATTCCAGATTAGTTATTATTACAGCAGGTGCACGGCAGCAAGAGGGAGAAAGTCGCCTTAACCTGGTCCAACGTAATGTGGATATCATGAAGTCAATCATTCCTGCCATAGTCCAAAATAGTCCTGACTGTAAGATGCTTATTGTTTCAAACCCAGGTGAGTCTTTTCTATTACCTTTAACTGCATAAGGATGATATTTCCATTCAGTTCAGTTCAGTCACTCAGTCATGTCCGATTCTTTGTGACCCCATGGACTGTAGCACGCCAGACCTTCCTATCCGTCACCAGCTCCCAGAGCTTACTCAAACTCATGTCCATCGCATCAGTGATGGACTTTTTTAAATGGTTTTTTAAAACCATCTCATCTTCTGTCGTCCCCTTCTCCTCCTGCCTTCAGTCTTTCCCAGCATCAAGGGTCTTTTCCAATGAGTTGGTTCTTTGTATCAGGTGGCCAAAGTATTGGAGGTTCAGCTTCAGCATCAGTGCTTCCAATGAATATTCAGGACTGATTTCCTTTAGGATGGACTGGTTGGATCTCCTTGCAGTCCAGGGGACTCTCAAGAGTCTTCTCCAACACCACAGTTCAAAAGCATCAATTCTTTAGTGCTCAACTTTATAATCCAACTCTCACATCCATACATGACTACTGGAAAAACCATAGCTTTGACTAGACGGACTTTTGTTGGCAAAGTAATGTCTCTGTTTTTTAATATGCTTTCTAGGTTGGTCATAACTTTTCTTCTAAGGAGCAAGCATCTTTTAATTTCATGGCTGCAGTCACCATCTGCAGTGATTTTGGAGCCCCCAAAAATAAGGTCTCTCGCTGATTCCATTGTTTCCCCATCTATTTGCATGAAGTGATGGGACTGGATGCCATGATCTTAGTTTTCTGAATGTTGAGTTTTAAGCCAACTTTTTCACTCTCCTCTTTCATTTTCATCAAGAGGCTCTTTAGTTCTTCCTTTCCTGCCTTAAGGGTGGTGTCATCTGTGTATCTGAGGTTATTGATATTTCTCCTGGCAATCTTGATTCCAGCTTGTGCTTCATCTAACCCGGCATTTCGCATGATATACTCTGCATGTAAGTTAAATAAGCAGGGTGACAATATACAGCCTTGATGTACTCCTTTCCCAATTTGAAACCCGTCTGTTGTTCCATATCCAGTTCTAACTGTTGCTTCTTGACCTGCATACAGATTTCTCAGGAGGCAGGTCAGGTAGTCTGATATTCCCATCTCTTTAATAATTTTCCAGAGTTTGTTGTGATCCACGTAGTTAAAAGGCTTTGGCGTAGTCAATAAATCAAAAGTAGATGTTTTTCTGGAACTCTTGATTTTTCAACGATCCAGCGGATGTTGGCAGTTTGATCCCTGGTTCCTCTGCCTTTTCTAAATCCAACTTGAACATCTGGAAGTTCACAGTTTACATACTGTTGAAACCTGGCTTGGAGAATTTTGAGTATTTTGTTAGCGTGTGAGATGAGTGCAATTGTGCAGTAGTATGAACATTCTTTGGCATTGCCTTTCTTTGAGATTGGAATGAAAACTGACCTTTCCACACCATTTCTTTTTTTTTTCTTTTTAAAACAATATCGCTTAGCAAATTTATAACGATAAACCACACCAATCCAAGTACACAATACTTTTTTTTTCTCAGCATTATTGATGTATAATTGATGTGTAAGTTTTATGCATTGTTGTTTAGTCAGTAAGTTGTATCCAACTCTTGTGTGACCTCTTGGACTGTAGCCTGCCAGGCTTCTCTGTCCATGGGATTTCCCAGGTAAGAATAAAGGAGTGGGTTGCTATTTCCTTCTCTAGGGATCAAACCTGTGTCTCCTGCATTGGCAGCTGGACTCTTTTACCACTGAGCCACCAGGGAAGCCTATCATATGTTATTTATCATATTTATGTGTGGAATCTAAAAAAAAAGGTACAGATGAACTTATTTACAAAACAGGTAGAGTCACGGATGTGAAGAAAACAAACTTATGGTTTACCAGAGTAGGGGAAGGGAAGGATAAATTGGGAGATTGGCATTTACGTATACACACTACTACACATAAAATAGACAACTAATAAGCACTAATGTATAGCACAGGGAGCTCTAATCAATACTCCATAATGGCCTATATAGGAAAAGAATCTAAAAAAGAGTGGATATATGTACATATATATGTTGTTTTGTGACTTTTATGAGATAATTCTGTCAAGTCTGTATTCTTTATTATACGTGGACACAGAAGTCTTTGTTTCATCCGTTCGGTAATCTACCAAGAATGGTTATATGTATAACTGACTCACTTTGCTGTATACCTGAAACTGACACAACGCTGTAAATCAGCTATGCTTCAAAAAGGGGCTTCCCAGGTGGTGGAGTGGTAAAGAATCTGCCTGCCAATGTAGGAGACACAAGAGACACAGATTCAATCCCTGGGTCAGGAAGATACCCTAGAGAAGGAAATCGCAACCCACTCCAGTGTTATTGCCTGGAAAATTCCATAGACAGAAGGAACCTGGTGTAGGCTATAGTCCGTGGGGTTGCAAAGAGTTGGATAGGACTGAGCACACACAGAATACTCTAATAAAAATTGAAAAAATATTTTAATTCAAAAGAGAATAAAAAGACACAGTAAAGTGAAAATAAAAAGGTGGAAAAAGATACCACATACAAACAGGAGCTAAAAGAGAGCTGGAGTTACTATACTGATATCACAGAAATTAGACTTTAATATAAAAATTATTGTTGCAGACAAGAATATTATATAATGATAAAAGGCTAATAGATGCAGATAAGGCAGTAAACAAAATTCCACACTGAATTATGATTTTAAAAAATAATTTACTAACCCATGAATGCAAGGAATTTTCTTCAACCTCATAAAAAATAATTTATGAAAAAACCCCAGCTAGCCTTATACTTGATGGTACTAGACTGAATGATTTTACTTCTAAGACCAGGAATGAGGCAGTGAGACTTGCTTTTGCCACTTCTGTTTAGCATCATGCTAGAAATTCTAGCCAGAGTAACTGAATAGAGATTTATCAGATATTTTAAATGAACTACTTTAACTATGTTTAAAGAACTAAAACAAAACATGTCTAAAGAACTAAAGGAAATAATGAGGTTGATCTCTCACCAAATGGTGAATATTACTAAATAAATAAATGCTATTTTTTTAAAAAGAAAAGAAATTCTGAAGTTAAAAAGTTAAATGAACATTAACTAGAGGGACTCAATAGCAGAGTGAGAAGGCAGAAGGAAGAATCAGTGGACTTGAAGACAGGGTAGTTGTTTAATGCCTGGGCTTTCTCAGGGACAGTCTCTGTTGATGTTTTTTCCTCTTTCTATGATATGTATTTCCTTATTTTGTTTCATGCCTCATAATTTGTTGAAACGAACATTTAAAAAGTACAGTAGAAAAACTCTGTGAATGAAATTCTTTCTTCTCGGCGTTTGCTTTGCATCAGCTTGTTGTAGTTTGTGACTTTTATGAGTTAATTCTGTCAAGTCTGTATTTTTATTATATGTGGACACAGAGGTCTATGTTCCATCTGTTCAGTGATCCGCCACTGATTGGACAAAACTTTCCTTAAATGCTTGGAACCAAAAGATACCTCCCAGTCTTTGCTGCAGTGCTCTGTGTACAAGTTGGGGCATGCCTTCAACACTCAGCCAGGCAGTTTGTAACTGTGCCTTAGCCTTTACTTCCTGCTTTCATAGAACCTCATGGTTAGACAGAACTAAAGTTTACAATCTTATCATGTTTTTCCTGAGCATGCACACACCTGCATACAGTCCTAAGCATGCATGTGGCTTTATTCTAGGTAGGAGACTCTGATATTTTACATGAGGCCGTGATGATGGAGAGGAAAAAGCTAGGTGATCTTAAAGAGGTATAATTCACCAATCATTAAATATACAGATAGGCACATAGGCTATTTCAAAAAAGAATCTTTCATTTTAAAATGCTGATGGTGATCATTTAATCTTTTAAAACCCATCTGAGAGATTATCTTTTTTCTTTGTTGACTTGCTTCATTTTGAACTCTAATGAATCTATATTTGACTCTAAGACAATTGATCTGTCTATTCAGAATATCAAATTGTAAGAAGTTACTATGAATCTTTCTCTAACAGGAAATTTTTTTTCCTAGTGGATATTTTGACATATGTTGTCTGGAAGTTAAGTGGCTTACCTGCAACTCGTGTAATTGGAAGTGGTTGTAATCTAGACTCTGCCCGTTTCCGTTACCTAATTGGACAGAAGTTAGGTGTACATCCCTCAAGCTGCCATGGTTGGATTATTGGTGAACATGGTGATTCTAGTGGTAAGTGTAAACTCATTACCATTATATAATCGCACTTCTTATCTTTAATAATGTTTCTTTTCCTTAAAGTGTTGGCATTTTACTGTTTGTTTTCCTTAACTTTCAGTCTTTTGTGTCATCGGATTTAGCTACCTCACACAAAATAGTGCATAGAGCATATAGCTATTTTAAAATTCAATGAGTGTGTGTGTGTTTGTTTTTTTTTTTTTGGTCTGGAGCACTTTCATTGTGGTTTTAAGGACAGAATTATTAAGATATAATACACACCCCATAAGTTTTACCCATTTAAAGTGTATAATTCATTGGATTTTTATTCACAAAGCTGTGCAACCATCACCACAGTCTGATAGTAGAAAATTTGCATCACCCCCAAGAACTCCAGTTCCTGTACTCACCCCCTGCCCTAGCCACAGGCAACCATTAATCTACTTTGTGACTCTTGAGATTTGTTTTTCCCTGACTTTTCACAGAAATAAAATTTTTAATGTGTGATTTAAACTATTACTTAGGTCATATGTCTTGGCTCTTTTCCTAACTTAAACATTTAATCTCTGCTACACATTTAGATATTTTGGGTTCCTTCATAGCTCAGTCGGTAAAGAATTTGCCTGCAATGCAGGAGACCTGGGTTCAATTCCTGGATCAGGAAAATCCTCTGGAAAAGGAAATGGCAGTCCACTCCAGTATTCTTGCCTGGAAAATCCCATGGACAGAGGAACCTGGTGGGCTACAGTCCATGGGGTTGCAAGAGTCAGACACGGCTTAGCGACTAAACTACCACCACGAAACTACACATTTAGAACCTCATGCTTATAATTCTGTGATGTGTATCAGTCTTCTTTCTGTAATGCCAACTGGTCCATTGAGAATAGGCACCATTTACTCCTTTATTCAATCATCCGTTCAAAAAATTTAATAAGTACTTCAATGGTCATAGTATAATAAGTATTTTTTATTTGATTTAAACAAATTTTTTTGACCAGTGCCTTAATTTGATTCTGTTGGCTTGTGTTATTGTCTTAGCTTAAAATACAACAATCATTAAAACTAATTTTCCCAGATATGTTTTAATTTCTCCCATTTAATATTCCATGATTTTATTTTAAAAAAAACTCTATATGGTTTAATAGTATGATATTAATTTATTGCTCTTTGCCTTCATAATATTTTGTTATTTCTTATAGATTATTTTCTTTGTAGATTCTGTATTTATATCTTGCTTTAACATGATTCCTTATCACAAATTACAAATAAATTCTGCATATTTTATGATACTTTATAATTTTAATTTTTACATTTCTCTCTTTTGTCTATTTGAAACTTATTTTTATATATGGTGTAAGGTAAGTAACCTAACTTTATTCTTAAAAACCCCACTGAACTTACCATATATGTATGGCAAGTTAATAAAATATGATAAAGCCAACACCTGGGTAAAAAGAAATCCACTGCATTTAAACAACTGAAGTATTGGGAAGAAAAGTTCATTCTGAGATTTATTTCTTTTAGTGCCTTTATGGAGTGGAGTAAATGTTGCTGGTGTTTCTCTGAAGAGTCTAGATCCTAACATAGGAACTGATTCAGACAAGGACCACTGGAAAAATATTCATAAGGAAGTTGTTGGAAGGTAACGTTAGTTATTCACTTTCTTAGTACCTTAATAATCAGTTGTAACAATGTATTTTACAGAGAAAAAGTATAAAAGTTGATTTTTGCTTTTTGTGAGGTAAATAACATTCTGAAAATTCCCAAAGTTGGACTCACATAATGCATAGCTTTCTTTTGGGGGAATTTTTCAAACAGAAAAGAAGACAGTGAGTACTTTCTGTTTCCATGATTTTGACTAAGTATATCATATAGGTGGAATCATTCAGTATTTGTCTCTGTGACTAGTTTATTTTGCTTAGCATAATGTCCTTAAGGTTCATCCATATTATAGTATATGTCAGAGTTTCCTTACATTTTAAGACTGAATAATATTCTGTTGTATGTAAATGTATGTTGTATGTAAATATACCACATATTGCTTATTCATTCATTTCTTGATGGATTCTTGGTTTGCTTCCATGCTTTAGCTATTGTGAATAATGCTGCTATGAATATCTATATACAGATCTCTTTGAGACTCTGTTTTCAGTTCTTTTGGGTAAATACCCATCAGTGAAATTGCTGCTGTTGTTATTCAGTTGCCTAGTCGTGTCCGACTCTTTGCAACCCCGTGAACTGCAGCACGCCAGGCCTCCCTGTCCCTCACCATCTCCTGGAGTTTGCCCAAGTTCATGTCCATTGCATCGGTGAACCATCCAGCCGTCTCATCCTCTGATGTCTTCTTCTCCCTCTGCCCTTTGTTTTGAGGAACCACCCTACTGTTTTACACAGTGGCTATACCATTTTACATTCCCACCAATACTGTAGAGAAGTTCCAGTTTCTCCACATCCTCACCAACACTTACTTTCTCTTTGACAGTGGCCATCCTAATGGATGTGAGGTGGTAATCTTATTGTAGTTTTGATTTGCATTTCCTTGATTAGTGATGCTGAGCATTTTGTCCTGTGCTATTAGGCCACTGTATATCTTATTTGGAGAAAGTGTCTATTCAAGTCTTTTGCCCAGATTTGAATTGAATTTTTTGTTGGTTGTTGAGTTTTAAGAGTCCTTACTATATTCTGGATATTAATCTCTCATCAGATAATTTACAAATATTTTCTTCCATTCCATAGGTTCTTTTTTTAAACCCTTTTCATATTGTCTTTTGATGTACAAAACAGAAATTTTCATAAAGTCCATTTGTCTATTTTTTTCTTTTGTTGCCTTTTGTGTTCTGTTCCAAGAAATTATTGCCAGGTGCAATGTTATGAAGTCTTGCCCTGTGTTTTCATGTAAGAGTATCTTAGTTTTAGGTCTTATATTCAGATCTTTGATTCTTTTTTTTTTTCATTTATTTGTATTCATTGGAGGCTAATTACTTTATAATATTGTAGTGTTTTTTGCCATACATTGACATGAATCAGCCATGGATTTACATGTGTTCCCCATCCCGATCCCCCACCCACCTCCCTCCCCATCCCATCCCTCTGGGTCTTCCGAGTGCACCAGCCCTGAGCACTTGTCTCATGCATCCAACCTGGGCTGGCGATCTGTTTCGTTTTTGTAAATGGTTTTAGGAAAGGGTCCAATTTTAATCTTTTGCATGTGGATATCCAGTTTCCCCAGAATCGTTGGTTGAAATGACTGCCCTTTTCCCATTCAGTGATGTTGGCACAATTTTTGAAAATCAGTTGAACAGATTTTCAGATATGGAGGTTTACTTCTGAGCTTTCTATTCTATCTCACTGGTCTATATGTTTATCTTGATGCCAGTACCATACAATTTTGATTACTGTAGCTTTATAGTTGGTAAGTTTTGAGGTGAGAAAGTGTGAGTCCTTCAGCTTTCAAGATTGTTTTAGCTATTCCGAATCTCTTGAGATTCCATATGAATTTCAGGGTGAGTTTTTCAACTTCTGCAAAATCTATCCTTGGGAATTTTTGGGAATTTCACTAAATCTGTAGGTGGTTTAGGGTAGTATTAGCATCTTAATAATATTAAGTCTCCAATTCATAAACATAGGTTGTGTTTCCATTTATTTATGTTTTATTTAATTTCTTTCATCAGTGTTTTGTGGTTTTCATTGTACAAGTCTTTCACCTCCTTGGTTAATTCTGAAGTACTTTTTTTTTGGTGCTATTGTAAATGGGATTGTTTTACTAATTTCCTTTCAGATTGTTCATTGTCGTTAAATAGGAATGCAGTATTTTAATGTTGACTTTCTACCTGCTACTTTCCTGAATTCATTTATTAGTTAAACGTTTTGTTGTTGTTGTTGTTGTTGTGTGTATGGAATCCTCATGGTTTTCTGCATGTAAGATCATGTCATCTGTAAGTACAGATACTTTTATTGCTTCCTTTCCAAGTTGAATGCCTTTTATTTGTCTTTCTTATCTAATTGCTCTGGTTAGAACTTTCAGTGTTGTGATAAATGGAACTGGCAAAAGTGAGCATCTTTGCCTTATTCTTGATCTTAAAAGCTTTTAGTTTTTCACCATTGGGTATGACCTTCACTATGGGCTTTTCATATATGGCTTTTATATTGTTGAGGTAATTTCTTTCTATTCCTAATTTCTAAGGTGTTTTTATCATGAAAAAGTATTATAAATTTTATCAAATAATTTCTCTGTGTCAGTTGTAATGACAGTGTGGTTTTCCTCTTTTATTCTCTTACTGTGATATATTACATTGGTGGATTTTGGTATATTGAACCATCTTCGCTTCCTGGGACTGAATCATGGTGTATAATCCATTAAATACCGTTGAATTCAGTTTGCTAGTATTTTGTTAAGGATTTTTGCCTCAGTGTTTGTAAGGGATAATGGTCTGTAGTTTTTTCTCCCCCCCCCCTTTTAAAATTATATTAATTAAAAAAAAATAGTGACTTTGTCTTTCTTTGGTGTCTGTGTAATGCTTAGAATCACTAATAATGTCTTCACTTTCATTTCTGATTTTAGTAATTTGAGACTTCTCTCTTCTTAATTCATCTAACTAAAAGTTGTCAATTTTGTTGACCTTTTCAAAAAACTGTTGATTTTCTTTCTTTTGTTTTTCCATTTTCTATTTTGTTATTTTCACTCTAATCTGTATCATTTACTTCCATCTGCTAGATTTGGGCTTAATTTGTTCTTCCTTTGCTAGTTCCTTAAGTTGGAATGTTAGATTGTTGATTTGACATCTTTCTTGCTTTTTAATGTAAGCATGTATGGCTGGCTATAAGTTTCCCTTTAGCACTGCTTTCTTTGTCTAATAAGTTTTATCTTATGTTTTCATTTCCATTCATCTCTTAAGTATTTCCTAATTTCTATTGTGATATCTTTTTGATCCATTGGGTTGTTGTAGAATGTGCTTTTTAATTTCCACAAATTTGTGAATTTTTCAGTTTTACTTGTATTATTGATTTCTAAATTCCCCTTGTTGTGTCAGAGAATATAGTATGTTGCCTGTCTTATTAAATCTGTTGAGACTAGTGATTTCCCTAGTGGTCCAGTGTCTTAAGACTCCATGCTCCCAATGCTGGGTGCTCAGGTTTGATCCCTGACCAGGGAACTAGATCCCACATGCTGCCACTAAGAGGTCACGTGCTGTAATTAAAGGTCCTGCATGCCACAGTGAAGATTGAAGATCCACGTGCCACAACTAAGACCCAGTGCAGCCAAATAAATAAATATTCTTTAAAAATGAAAAGAACTATATCTATTGAGACATAATTTGTGGCATAACATTTAGTCTACTGTAGAAAATATCCCATGTATACTTGAGGAGAACATAGATGCTGCTGCTGTTGAGTAAAGTGTTCTGCTAGATCTAGTTGGTCTGTTGTGTTGAATTCTGTTTCTTTCCTTGCTTTCTGATTGAGAGTGGGGTAATGAAGTCTTCAGTTATTATTGTAGAACTGTCTATTTCTTCCTTCAATATTTTCACTATTTGCTTCATGTATTTTGATGGTCTGCTATTAGATGCATACATGTTTATATAATTGTTTTATTTTCTTGAATCTCTGGTTAGTATATAATGTCATTTGTCTATTGTAAACTCTGATTTAAAGTCTGTTTTGTCTGACCTTAGTATAGCCACCGCCCTCTTTTGGTTACTATTTGTATAAAATATCTTTTAATCTATTTGTTTCTTTGGTTTTACTTACTTTTAAATAAGTTTCATGTGATAGCTTGTACTTGGTTCATGTGTTTTTATCCATTCTGTCAATCTCTTTTGCTTGGAGAGTTTAATTCATTTACATTTAAAGTAGTTACTGATAAGGAGTGGCTTCTGTCATTATGCTCTTTGTTTTCTATATGCCTTAGAGCTTTTTGTTCCTCATTTCCTATATTACTGTTTCGTGTTTATTTTTCATAGTGGAATATTTAAATTTCTTTCTTATTTTCTTTTGTATATATCCTACAGCTATTTATTATAGCTGTTTTTATTCTGGTTGCCATGGGGGAGTACCTTTAGCACCCTAAAGTTATAATACTTTTAGTTGAATTTCTACCAGCTTAACTTCAGTAATGTACAAAACCTCTGCTTCTTCATAGTTCCATCCTCACCCCTTTTGATTGTTAATGTCATAAAATTGCATCTTTATACACTGTTTGACCCAAAATAATTAATAATATTCATAATTAACAATTAATTAATATTTCATTAATTATTCTTTTAAATGCAGTTGTTTCTTAAATTTGAAAATGAGAGTTGCATACCAAAGTCACAGTGATACTACCTTTTTGACCAGTTGTTCTTTTAAATGTACTAGTCTCTAAAATTATGCAGAAAATGAAAAGTGGAAGTAGAAACTATTGTTACCATATTACTAGCTTTTATAAATATCCATGCATTTACCTTTATTGAGATCTTTATTTTTTCACATGACTTAAAGTTACACTGTTTATTTCACCCTGCAAGGACTGCCTTGAGTAATTCTTGCAGGGCAGGTTTAGTGGCAATGATCTCTCTTAGCTTTTGTTTCCTTCACAATGTCTTAATTTTTCCCTCACTTTTAAAAAATAGTTTTGCCAGATAAAAGATTCTCGGTTGACATGTGTTTTCTTTTTTATCAGTTTAAATATATCTACCCACTACTTTCTGGCTTCCAAAGTTTCTGGTGAGAAATCAGCTGATGATCTTATTTTTCACTTTTCCTCAATCTTTTTTCTTTCTGTGTCTCAGGCTGTTATTTGCATTGTCCTATCTTTACGTTTGCTGATTCTGTCTTCTGCCTGCTCAAATCTGTTGTTTAATCCATCTAGTGATTTCTTTTTTTCATTTCACTTTTTGTACTTTTCGGCTCTAGGATTTGGGGCCTGGGGTTTATTTTTAGGTTTTATGTTTCTTTATTGGTATTTCCATGTTGTTCACTCATCATTTTCTTGACTTTCACTATAGCTTCCTTTAGATTTTTGAGCATCTTTAAGACAGCTGTTTTAAAGTCTTTGTCCAGTATATCTGCCATCAGTACCCCCCCACCCCCAACCAGGGACAGTTTCTGTTGATTCATTTTTTCCTTTGAATGGGCTGTACTTTGGTGTATCTTTGTATACCTTGTGATTTTTTTTGTTGTTGAAAACCAGATGTTTGAATCTAATAATGTGGCAACTTTAGAAATCAGAATGTATCTAGTCCCCAGGGTTTACTGAGTTTTTGTTCTTGTTGTTGTTGCTTTTGTTTTTTGATTGTTGAAAGCTGTTTCTGTGCCAAGGACCAGCCTGAGTTGTAATCTTATGGTCTTTGATTTTGTTTCTAAGCCTGTGCACATAGGTGGTTACTTTCTAATATCCTCAAAATATGCAATTGCTTTTGTATATTCTGGTCTTCAGTGTCTGGCTCCCAATGGGAAAAAAGAAATATTAAGGGAAGAGGAAAAGGGTACTTACTTGCTCTTTACATTCCCTAGAGGCCACCTTAGTCAAAAGGGGAGAAGCTTGCAACAGTTGTGGGGAAATGAAACAGTAATGGCTTTGCCTTCTTTGTCTCCACCTCTGTTATCAGAAGCAGTAATCATTCATTAGAAAACATATCTCTGATATTTGAAGAAAAGAGTTCTTTTCACAGGCTGTGCACAAGCTGCTTTGGGTACATGTGAACAGCCGCTACTGTGCTAAGAGATGAAATTAACCACAATTTAATATACAAGCCTTCCCTTGATAGTTTCAAGCTTGCAGAAGACTCCAGAGTTTCCCCAAAAGTTATATCAGACAGAGTCTGGCATTGCATTTATTGTCTATGTGGAGAGATAGATTCCTGGTGCTTCCTACTCTCCATCTTCCTAGAACCCTCCAGTACTTGAAGGTGGAAGTTGCTCAGTCGTCTCCAACTCTTTGTGACCCTGTGGACTGTAGCCCTCCAGGCTCCTCTGTCCATGGAATTCTCCAGGCAAGAATACTGGAGTAGGTAGCCATTCCCTTCTCCAGGGTATCTTCCCAACACAGGGATCAAACCCAGGTCTCCCACACTGCAGGCAGAATCTTTACTATGTGAGCCACCTAGGTTTTTAAACTTAGACAACTGTTTTGTGAAAAAGCATACTCAAAAGTCATCTTTCTAGATACTCCTACCTTTTTGGAAAAGATTCATACCTACAGTTAACCCTTTACCTTGACAGCTTGTCATGACCTAGGTGGTTATCTTTGTGTTATATATTGCTCATAATTCTTATGACAAACATGTCCTAATATTTTATACATAGAAAAAAATAAGCTTTGTATACCTATAATCACCAGAATGTATAAGAGCAAATATGTAACCAAAATCCCTCACCAGATGTTTTTGTAATTCTTAATTAATTGGGCTATCTTATTTTTCCCTTTTGTTTACCATCATTTGTACCTTATTAAAGTTTTGATAGCTGCATTTAATTGTGTGTTCAGTTTCTCTGAACCAACCTTATTTCCTCTTTTGGTCAAACTATTCCCACATCAATTGGAAATTTCAGGTTAATATCCCAAAATATCTTTTCTTTGATGGTTGTTAGTGGTATGTTTCATTTTCTTAAATTTTCTTAAGAGGACCTACAAACATTTGTTATGCCATATAGCTTTGGATAAGAGATTAAATTAATGCCTACCAAATGAAACCTATGTTAATATTACAGAATCATTTCACATTATTCTCAGCAAAAATGTCCCTTTCCCCCATCTATTATATATTTCCCATTATAGGGGCTATTGGGAGCTGTTTCCCAGTAAATGCAGGAATCTATCTGATCTGGCAGGACAGCTATAACCCAGATACTAAGGAACGTGTTTTAGCCAAGATTGGTTTCCAGATGTCATGGAGTAGCCGGTCTTTATAGGGATGACACGTTGTTGGACTTTTGTCTGTCCAGTGCCTGATAATTGTACTACAGGGACTGTTAGTTTCTTTTTCATTTGAAACACTGTTGCTCTAAGGGAATAGTGATTAGGATCACATTTTCCACTGAAGTCCTGTGTGATTTGAATACCAAATACTGCAACACATTACAGATCAGTACTCATTCCAGTTAGTCCTTAACAATGCAGTGTCCAAAATTAAATTATTTACCCCTTTTTCATTTAGCAGAGGATCTATAGTTATAAAGACTCCTCAGGATACTGCTAGTACTTTCCTTAAAAACAACTCAACTCTTAATAGCCTCTAATTTTTCAGTGCCTAACTAACAATTGCAGGGAAGTAACAACATGATTCAATAGGATGTCCTTCCAGTTTCTGAGTGGAGCATTTACTTTACAATGTGGGTCAGTTTTTGTCTTAAAATACCTGCCTTAAAATGGCTTTTTCTTGATTCTCCCTTTTATATCAGCAGTTTTAATTTCATTAGGATGGTTAACAACAACTAAAGGATTATGTTCTTAGCCATTTTCTTCTCAACCCTCTTCTCCAGATTCCACTATTAAGATTTGTTCTCAGTTACCTAATGCATAGGTTTCTTCAACTCTAAACACCACCAGTCAGTCAGTCACTAGGCTAAACTTCCTTTCTTTTTTTTTTTTTACTTACCCCACAGAGTCTTGGTTATATTGAGAGTCTGAAAGTTAATCTTAATTTTGATACCAATCTTCATGGCCTCTAATAGTGCCCTGGTTTTGGATTGATAGTGAAATCACAGGACAGCACAATGAGTATAGTCCATGTTGAGCTGATCCATTTGCTACTGAGTGTGTTGTGTGCAGTCCTGGAGCCTTGAAACTGTGCCTAGGTGGTTGCAAGAACCCCTGATACAAATAATGATGCTGGACATTCTGCATTTCTTGTCCTGGATCCTTTTCTCAAAAATATATAAAATCCGAGCTAAGTTAAAACTTCTTTGTCCTTTAAGTTTTACTGTCAATCCAAACTCAAGATTGCTATTGGTGGCAATGCAAAAATAAAATACATATTATTACAGAAAATAAGAAAATTCATAAGCATAAAGAAGAGGTCACCTGTAAGCCTGTTACTCAAAAATAGTCACATAAGAATTTGCTAGATTGATATAATTCTAAAGTTCCTATAAAAATACATTATGTTTTTTACAAGCCTGAGATAAGAAATTATATAATATTTAGGATTATGCTATTTTCCTTTGAAAAAATATCAAAACATTTCCCCATGCTTTAATGTATTATTGATTTAATAATATATGCTTAGGGAAAATATGTAACTTATAATTATATAAAGCTTAAACTTACATTGACATCTTAACAATTTTATGTGGTCAGCAAGATATATATGCTAACTTTCAAGGTGATCAGATTCTATGTTTGGATATTTAAGCAAAAATACAAAAATTTGAAGCTAAGTTTCATTTCGAGTGTCATAAATGACCTAGTACTCTACCTTTATGGTAAACAAAAGGTAAATTACTACTTATGGTGAATAATGAAGTTTATGAGAATAATATAGAAATTTTTATTGCCTATTCAGAGATAATTTCAAGAAGAGATCTCTAAGAAAATTTTAAGAGTGTTATTGACATGTAGAATGTCAATAGATGGATGCTTGAAAAATATGTTCTCTCTGAATCAATTCTCATGAATTTGATTTTCTTACTTTCCACAACTGTAGTGCCTATGAGATTATCAAGCTGAAGGGATATACCTCTTGGGCTATTGGACTGTCTGTGACAGATCTGGTAAAATCAATTTTGAAAAATCTTAGGAGAGTGCATCCAGTTTCCACTATGGTGAAGGTAGGCTTAAATAGAATCTTCACTTATCATTCTTTTAATAACACTGAGTCCTTACTATGTGCCAGGCATTACACAAAATGTTGAGAATATATTGGTGAACAAAATAGAGACTCTGACCTTACAGAGTTTAATGAAAGATAGCAACTTAATAAAACAGTTACAAAAGCAAATAATAACACATTTTGTTAAGTGCCATGATGACAAGCTATGAAGTTCTAAACTATGAGTTTACAAGAAAAGAATTTAACTGCTCTGGGGAGGGGGCATTCTTGGTACAGGCAGGCAAGATTTTCTAAGGAAGTAAAATGTGACCTAATCTGAATAATGAGTAGGAGTTAATTTGGAAGGCTGGACTAATATTCCAAGCAGAGGGAGGAACACATGTGAAGGTGACCTGAGGTAGATATAAAAAGAGGGCACTTGAGAATCTGGAAGGGAAAAAAGGTCAGTTATTGAAATGCACAGAGCAAAGGGAACAAAGGGAGGTGTATGATAAGGCTGGGAGAAGTAGGCAGGGTTGGGCCACTGAAAGTCTTATAAATCTTATAAAGGGGTTTGGGTCCTTACCATAAGAGCTATGGAAATCCACCAAAGAACTTAAGAAAGGGACTGGTTTTACAATCTTTGTTTTTGTTGTTAAAAATATTCCTGGGGTTGTGCTGGACAGAACAGATTTGAAGGGGACAAGAGTATAGGTGAGTAAACTTGGGAAAAGGCTGTGTATTACAGAAAAAAGTAGTAGTAGAGATGAAGAGATAGAGACAGATTTGAGATACATTGTATTTAAGAGGTAAAATTCATAGGTCTTGGTAATGGAGTGAGGTTGAAAATGAGGGAGACAAAGGTCATTGTTAGGTTTTTGTTTTGTACAGTTAAATGGTAGTGTAATCCACTGAGGGAGGGCATATTCAAAGAGAATCAGATTTGAAGATCATGTTTGCAATTAGGGAGAAGTTGAATTTGAGGTGCCTTTGTAATGTCTGAGAGAAAATAGGCAGTTGGGTACAAGCTTCTGGAATTCATAAAAGAGTTTTGGGTTGCAGTTATAAATGTGAGAGCATCATCAGCATGAAAACAGTAAGCCACAGAAGCCAACTCAAACTAGCTTAGGCAAAAGAAGATATTTTGACTCATGTAACTGAAATGCCAAGGAGGCCTGAACCACATGCTCAAATTGTATCATTAGAGCTATTTTTTTCTCTCCACAATCTTTGCTCATCTTTTCACTCTTGTTGGCGTTAATATCCTGTGGACATTTTTCATGGAGCAACAAAGATGGTTCCCATCAGCTGCATGCTTAAGAGCCGATAGTATCAGTACCCTGCCTCTCCATTACCCATATTAATTTCTTGATAATTGGCCTTTTTGGGATCACTTGTCCACTCCCATGATACTTGTCAGTCGGGGAGAGGAAGTTACTGAAAGGAAAAAAGAGGTTCTGTCAAAAAAAAAGAGAAAGAGATACTTGAAAGGCAAAGACAATAGATATCCCTTACACATAGTAACTGAAATCATGAATTTCAATGAGCTTGCCTGAGGAGAGAGTATAAAGTGACAAGACAGATTAAGTCTTGAGGAATTTCAGTTTTGAAAGCTGAGTTTATAGTGTGAGTCCACGAGGTGACTAAGTGGTGGCCAGAGTTAAAAGAGAAACCAAGAGAACACAAAATCATGGTAACCAAGTGAAAGGAGGGTGCCTTAAAGATGAAGGATTGGTTTTCTGTTGTTGATTGATGTGAAGTCATGTAAAATGAGGGTTTGAAAATACCAGGAGGATAAAGTGACATATGTCATTGAAAGCCTTAGCAGGAGATGTTTAATAAAGTAATAGGAATGAAAAAGTCTAATTGGAGAACACCAGGGTCATCTTAACTTCAGCAGTATTGACTTTCAGACCAGGTAATTCTTCATTGCTGGGGATGACCTTTGTGTTGTGGTATGTTAGCAGCATCCCTGGCCAGTACATACCAATTTTGACAATCAAAAATGTCTCCAGACATTATCAAATGTCCCCTGAGAGGCAAAATCATTTCCACCTGACAGAACCTCTTAAGTAGCTGGGGAAATTAAAGCCAATGTGAAAGTCGTTCAGTCGTGTCCAACTCTTTGCGACCCCATAGACTGTAGCCCGCCAGGCTCCTCTGTCCATGAAATTCTCTAGGCAAGGATACTGGAGTAGGTAGCCATTCCTTTCTTCAGGGGATCTTCCTGACCCAGGGACTGAACCCAGATCTCCTGCACTGCAGGCAGGTTCTTTACCATCTGAGCTACTAAGGAAGCCCAAAAGCCAGTGTAAACAGCTCTTTTGAGGTAAGTGACTGTGAAAATAGAGCAGTAATTGGGGAGGAAACTCAAGGCAAGGCAAGTTTTTTTCTTTTAAAAGGTAAGATGTAAAGAAGATATTGGAGATAGAAATAACAAGCAGAGAGGGTTGGTTAATAAGCAGAGCATTCGTGAAGATATTAGCCCTAGGAAGGAGGAGGGACAGATACTTGTTTTAATAGGGGGTAACAAAGAAAACAGTGAATCATAGATTTGTAAGTTTGGCATTGGAAGCATCTGATGATGTCTATCTTTTTAATGAAAGGAGACAAAATCATCTGCTGAAAGTCAAGGGAGATAGAGAAAAGTCAGATGTTTGAGGAGATTTGAAATTACTGTTGTAGATAATAAAAAATAGAAGTAAACAGAATCAAGGCAGAATTACTGTCAAGTGGACTCATTTGAAATTGATAAGCATTAATTTTAACATGTTAACAACTTTGTTATGTCATTTTCTCTAGGGATCTGAGTGCGGGAATGGAGAAATAGATAGCTGAAGTCATTGGGGTTTGGGTTTTATTTCAGGAGTATTAAAAGAGGGAGAGAGAGGAAGACAGAGATATAAATAGTTTTGGTTTCTACACATGTTAAAAATGAGTTTGACCTTCTACGAAAGGGTCACAGTCCAATTCAAGACCTTTGCCCTTACATGTTATATACATACAAATGAATAAATTAACAAAAGAAAATTATTAATAAAGATTTAAGAAATATTTATAAAAGCTAAAAATTAAAATAGGCAAAGGGTCTTAGAGTATGGCAAAAGGGTTACAGAATGGACCCAAGAAATGAATCTTAAGTTGGAGGAATCTCATAACAAAGTTCAGAGTGGGATACTTGGGGTGGGAAGAGAAGGTCTCGTGAACTAAAGAAAGAATACAAGAAATTGGAAAGAAAGGGAATTAATTGGTTGATTTACCCACATGAACAATGAACGGCAGAAGCTGAGAGGGAAGATTATTAGGTGTTAGAGTCTTTTATGAATAACATGGAATACTCAATAGGTTTGGAGATGGTGATTAGAAAGAAAGAGCTAAATAAGATGAGCCTCAAAAAATAGGGGGAATTTTTTTAAGAGGGCAAGGGATTAATAATTTGGAAGAGACAGTGAGGAGTATTCAGTGGATTTCACATACTGTTCCTGACTAAGCAATTACCTCTAGAGGGCTCCTGAAGAGTTAGGTATCAAATGAAGGCTTCTCAAAAAGAGATTGAGTAATATGGGAATTTCTTAGTCATTACTGAACAAATCAATAGATGAGTTATATTTTATAGGAAATACTTAAACATTTGACATTAAGAACAGAATCATTTGTATGCTGTTATTCTTTTTTCCCAGTTCATTTTTATTGCTTCACATTTTCAGCAAATAAAGTTGGCAATAGAGTTTATTTAATATTACTATATTAACTTGATTTTTTGTCAATAAATAGAGAATTCTCTTTAAATAGCCATTTCCTCATTTCATGGCCAGTCTAGGAGAAAAGGAAGCAAATTTCAGTGCATCCATGGGTCATATTGCCAGCCAGGCATGACGCTTAAAGGGAAAGAGGGTAGGCCGAGGGGCGGGCAGCAGGTCATGGTCAGCACGCAGGGATAGGTCACGGTAGGGCCCTTGTTTCCAGTCCATCCAGCAGCCCCTAAGTGGGATGGACGTGCATTTCCGGTTCTAAGAAGCCCCTTCTAGTAGGAAGAGATACAGTGAAAGTAGAGGGAACAAAGTCCTGAATCACTAGCAGGGAAGGAGAGTGGCTTCTGCTCCAGCCACACTAGCCTTGTTCCTGATGCCACTCAACCAACCCCTGCAGCCCATGTTCAAGCTCCAAAAGGCATTGTGCTACACAGAGGTAGCACCACAAGGACCAAGGACAGGAGAGGGGAGTGGGAGGAGGTAAGTGTAACTGGAGCTGGAATGTGACTGGGAAGGGAATGTGCGCTGATAGTGTGGTGGGTCAGTGGCCTTCCGTGGCCACTTCACCATGGAAGTGAATGTCAGTAGAGCCTGCGGGAACCCTGCCAGGAGAAGACATGTAACTAGTCTGAGGAAATCATGAGGTTGAGTATCAAGTGGCTACCAAAGTGAGGCAGTTGGACTGCAGTGGAGACGATGGATAGGGAGTCCTTCTGTGGACCACTGGAATAAAACAGGACACTGAGCTCCTGAGGGGAGCCCCAGAGATGGTGAGAGGGAGACTTGGTTGAGTAGTGCCAGTGGACTGTGACCTATCAGGGGAAGCTGGGAGGCACCACTCCAGAGTCAAGGAGCCTTTCCCTTGCTCTGTGCTAGTTCCTGGCAACTTTACAATCAGATCTGGAGGAAGAACAAGGCTTGCCCATTGCCGCCTCCAACGCCACGTTCAACCCCAAGGGGTGAGGTAGGAAAATGCAATGGGTAGTGGGAGGCAGAGAGGTGTGAGAGATCTACTGAGTCTTCTTATCTTCCAGGGAGGAGGTGGAGGCTGGTGTGTGGTCATGTAGGCATTGTGTGAGTTACCAGGTTGTAGTAGGCTCCGGCAGCTGCCTCTATGGCCTTGGCTTTAGCTCCAGGGTTGGAGCGAATATCAGGGTTGCTGATGGAAGGCTCCATGGCCCCAGGATAGGGTGGTGGCCATGGCTGCACCTATTCCCTGGCCCTGTCCATCATGGAAGGACATGGATAGAAGTCCAGTGCCAGCCAAGAGGGCAGGGGTGCCTTCCGTTAGTGACTGGCAGGGAAATTACATAAACCCTGCTGGGCATGTGAGAGGACCTTGTAACCTTAGGCTCCACCTCTGAAAACTTGAGAAGCCACCTGTTAGCACCTGTTGTCCAAACTTAATGGCATCCCCTGGTGTAGAGATTATGCAGAGCAGAGCCTTTCTAGCTGCTTCCTACTTCACTGTTCTCTTATTTTACACCAAAAAACAAACACAGCCTGCTTGATCTCACAGGCTGCATAGTCCTTCATCAGACTGCATGACGTCCTTTCCCTTAGACAGAAATATGACAAAGGTTGGGGTAAGGTAGACAATGCCTTTCTTGGTTCCTTTGAAGTCCTCTGGAATGTTCTTCGTGTCATTAAACACAAGTTCATACATGGTCATTAGACATTAGGATGCTTTTGGTGGTGGTCTCTCCACTGCCCTCAGTGATTCTTCTTGAGTTCCATATTCTCTCTGTATATTCTAATTCTGAAGCTCTCTTGCATAGCAGCTTTTCCATGTCATATTACTGAATAATAACCTAATTTTGCCTTTTAGGGCTCATATGGAATAAAAGAAGAAATCTTTCTCAGTATCCCTTGTGTCTTGGGACGAAATGGTGTCTCAGATGTTGTGAAAGTTAACTTGAATTCTGAGGAGGAGGCCCTTTTAAAGAAGAGTGCAAGCACACTTTGGAATGTCCAAAAAGACCTGAGATTTTAAAACTTTTTAATGTTCCATGTTTTTGAGAACAGAAGATAGTAGACTGTATGTTTTATATTTTGAAAGTATTCTCACCTGCTCTGTAAAAAATAAAAAGAACATTGGACCTATGACATAACTCCACTCTCTCAAGACTAGAAAAAGGAAATGGTAAAGGAATTTCTCCCCTTTAGGAATCTCTTATAGCTCTATTCTAATAGGCTCAACCTGTACAAATGTAACTTATACTTCCAACATATGTCATATATGTAAAAGTTGGCTTCAGGTTTATTAGAATATGTATAATAATCCATTTAATACAGACCTTATGATTCTTCTCGTAAAACAATGGGACTTCTAGTATTGAAATTTCATCTTGTGCTTTCTTCCATTAGGGCATCAGCCTATTTACTTTATATTGCTTCAGTAACTTCATGCATTTACATATAATCATTACAATTAATATCAATGTATATAAGAAGGAAAATAGAAATAAAACTTTATGGCATAAAAAAATTAAATTAAGTATCTTCACTCTGCAAGTATTATACCAATTAATATAAACTCAAATAGTTGATTTGGTCCCACTGTTGAAATACCACACAGGGAGTTTAGACCAGGTTATTAATTTAGCAAACTACTACTCTGCTTGCTGTATTAATGGTTATGAGGTCAGTATGACATGATTTCCACCTTCAAGTATCTCACAGTGAGTATTTAGGGTACCTCATCTAACTGCTTGGAGAAGGAAATGGCAGCCCACTCCAGCGTTCTTGCCTGGAGAATTCCATGGATGGAGGAGCCTGGGGGGCTACAGTCTGTGGGTCGCAGCGTCGGACACGACTGAGCGATTAAACCACCACCACCATCTAACTGGTTATTGATGGATGCTTCAAACAGTCAATTGGTAGCTCCTTCTTGGTGTCCAGTGTTAGGAGTACATGTGCTTCATACAAAAATGTATATTTCCTTGATTTCCAAAAAGAATTTAAGGCAGCTATAGGAAATAGACAGTGAAACAAAAACTGATAAATTAGGGCCAAGGTAATTTATAAATTAGACTAGGACAGGGCCAGTGGGAAAACCAGAAAGCATATACACAGGCCCTGAGGACTTACATGGCTCTAGTGGAGGCAAACCCATTTGGTCAGAGAGTTATGGTTCACTCTCTTGTTATTCTTGCTATTTAATAGCTTTCAGTCATCTACTACTGAATATGGTTAGTTTGCCATTATTTTGTTCTCTTTCCTTTTTTTTCCACCTCTTCCCTTGAATGTACAAAATATGGTCATGAGTGAGAGTTTCATTACAATGGGGAGGAGGGGAGTCTGATGTGGCTTTTGTCTTTTTTTAAAGTTCCTCTTATATACCAAATTAAAACTTCATTTTAGGAAAACCTTGCAGAGATCAAAAAGGCTGCAATGTACTTTCTACAGGGAATATTCTAGGGAATAAAATTACTCTACATTGTGTATTCTCAACTGGACCATTATTGTCCCAAGGGGTGTAAATTGGTTCTTGGGTGGGAGGTTGGTGAAAAAAATCTTTGATATTGCAAAGGTTTGAATCGCCAAAGCTCAGTCCTACCAGACAAAAACCTCATTCTGTAATATTTAATTTGATGATGTGGGGACGGGTGAGGGAGCTGAACAATTAGGGATAATGTCTGAAAAAGCTTTTGAAGGAAAGATAATGAAAAAGTTGAGAAACACTGCTCTACATTTTGTAAAAGAATTTGTCAGATGTGTATTATGTTTAGGATTCATAAGTGACTTAGAAAACAGTCAAGTAGAATGTGGTGGGAGAAGTAAGGAATGAGAGGGGGATTTTATTAGATTCTACATTTAACAGACTTCATAAATAATGAGTTGTAGAAGTGGTTATCAGTTGTGTCTATGGTTATCATTTAATACTGCCCTGATCAAAGTCTTAGCTTTGCATCTCATTTAAAAAATCTCTTGCATAGAGGGTTTAAAATTTTTTTCTACTTCACTTCAGCTCATATTTGTGGGTGGTAAAAAGTAGCCCTGAGATTCTCCCACAGCCCTGGTGAAAAATTCCCAGTGAAAAAGTGAAAGTGACAGTGTTAGTCTCTCAGTTGTGACTCTTTGTGACCCCACGGACTGCAGCCCGCCAGGCTCCTCTGTCCATGGGATTCTCCAGGCAAGGATACTGGAGTGGATAGCCATTCCATTCCCCAGGGGGACTTTCTGAATCAAGAATCAAAAAGCCCTTATCCTATATATTTAGACAGGGTTTGTTAAAAATAAATTTACCTGGGCTCCCCTGTAGATGGATTCTGGGCGAGGAGTAATCTGTCTGATGCCTGAGGCCTTTTAGTTCAGCGTGCCTGCTTCACCCTGTGCGCTTGCCCAGTGAGCCTCTGAAGCCCGCCAGCCAGAAACAGCAACCTGCAGCGGGCGCGCAGGTGACAGGCAGCTGGCGCGCAGGTGACAGGCAGCTGGCGCGCTGTCTCAGAGCTGAGTGTCTCAGCGCCTGCTCCAGTTGTCCTCGGCCCCGTGAGGCGTTCACGGGTTGGGTGCCGCCTCACGCAGCCTCAGTAGACAGCGGCTGTCTTCCTTAGAGCTTCAGCCAGCTTCCTCCATCTTCCCCGTCCTCTTGCATGGGCAGCTTGAGTTAGGCTGCGGGAGGGAGTCGTGTGCACCTGTGGGAGGCTGTGGGAGTGAATTTCTGTTTCCTGGCGTTGCCTCCGTGTTCCCTGCGGGCTGTTGGTGTGTCTGCCACTCATCTCTGCATCTATCTGAAGGTGGGCCGAGGTACCGTGCCCCTGGACCTTCTGGCCTGGGGCCTGTGGACTCCCCATAGGTGCTGGGCTCCAGCCTGGAGCTAAGAGCTGGGGAGGGCAAATGGGAGGAAGAGCTTTCCCAGTGGTAAGTCTCATTTTTGGTGGAGCAGCCCCTTTTCCTTCCTTCACTCCCTCTTAACTCCTCTTTACTGCACCTTTTCCCTCCTCCTCCACTTGGTTTGTCTTCTGGATCATTCCCTAAGTGTCTGCAGCACCTCCTTCCCCACTAGCGCCCAGGAGTTCTGTATATGGCCTCTCTCACTACAGACCAATTCCAAATCAGAAGAGGCTTTGCAGTTTTTCCTCAGGATGGCCACCATCAAGTGTGAACTTCAGAAGAGGAAGAGCTTCGCTATGGGAAGTGGATTGGTTGCCACGGCCTGTGCAGTCAGCATCTTACTAAAAGTCAGTTGTATACCGTTCTCAACAAGTCAGTTGCAATTTTTTTCTTAAGAAGAAAAAAATTAAGCTTAGGGGATCATCTATAAGCTAATACGTGATAGTAGAAATTAGCTATGCCAGAGAGCCATTTGAGTATGTTGCCTTTAAAGAGAAAGTCTTTTCACCTGCCTGTGCAGCCTTGCTCCGTGGCTGCTTCCTAGCACAGTCAGCTGCAGCCCCAGGAAAGCAGCTGTTGTTCAAGAGCAGTCAGTTGCTTGCTGCTTCAGCTCTGGATAAGTTTGTCAGGTGCTTGGACACATTCAAGAAGCAGGTAGGTATATGGCATTTTCAGAAGTGGTAAGGTCCTCAAGTGAGTTAATTACATCAGGAAAATAACTCAATTTTTGACAGATTATGAACAAACCAGAAGACTCTTCATGCACTTTATTCTTCTAGAATAAAATAAATACATGCCGAAAATTTTCTTTTATCACTTAACAAGCCTAACCTTGACTCAAGCAGTGAAGCCTGTAAACATAATAAGTGAAAAATAAAAAACAGTGTCATTTATAGCCTGTCAATCTCTTATTGTCTTCCAGCAAAAATAAACAGCCTGGTGGAGAATTGTTATCCTCATACTTGCAAATTATGGAGGCTGTTTTTGTTAAGGCTGTCGAACACAATTATGACATACAGTCCAAAGAATGAAGTCACCTCCTTATCTTGTTAATTAATTGTTCTCTTTTGAAGACCTATTGTGTTGACTAATTGAACAATAATTCAAGTAGAGTATCCCAGAAAAACCACTTGAGCTCCCTCTTTGGAATCTGGCTGGTGGCTCTGAGATTACCAAAGGCCCTGACTTGCCCTGATTTGTGTCCTCTTTTAGAGGACGTGTTCTTTCCCAGTGGGCTGGAAACAACCTGGGGTTGTATTTTTTTGGCCAAGGCCTTTAGAACAGTAGTGTTCCAATGAAGTACTGGATACTTATTTATGTAAGAATGAGGTGTTTAAAAAAAAAAAAATATATATATATATATATATATGTTTCAATGCTATTCTCTCAGATCATCCCACCCTTGCCTTCTCCCATAGAGTCCAAAAGTCTGTTCTATACATCTGTGTCTCTTTTTCTGTCTTGCATATAGGGTTATTGTTACCATCTTTCTAAATTCCATATGTATGCATTAGTATACTATATTGGTGTTTATCTTTCTGGCTTACTTCACTCTGTATAATGGGCTCCAGTTTCATCCATCTCATTAGAACTGATTCAAATTTATTCTTTTTAATGGCGGAGTAATATTCCATTGTGTATATGTACCATAGCTTTCTTATCCATTCATCTGCTGATGGGCATCTAGGTTGCTTCCATGCCAGTCCAGGTTGGATGCATGAGACAAGTGCTCAGGGCTGGTGCACTGGGATGACCCAGAGGGATGGGATGGGGAGGGAGGTGGGAAGGGGGTTCAGGATGGGGAACACATGTAAATCCATAACTGATTCATGTCAATGTATGGCAAAAACCACTATGATATTGTAAAGTAATTAGCCTTCAACTAATAAAAAATAAATGAAAAAAAATAACAGTAATATCCTTTCAGAAATTTCAAACTACTTTGTAACTACATGACTTAACCTAGTGATAAAAGCAGTTATTAAAAGTCTGCCTCCCCTCCCCCTTCTCTAGATAAGTTATGTGCTCTGAGCTCTGGTGGGTCAGACGGTAA